GATAATCGATTTGGAATGGAAAAAGTGTATGATCGCAAAAAACGAATGATAAGTAACTCTTCTTGGTGTAATGGAAGAGAGAGTGATGAATATATTGGCGATGGAAAGGCTGTATTTTTAGCAGTGAAAAGATTGACTCTGAACAAGTTATGCAAATGGAAAGAATTTGACATTAGTGTGCTGGAAGGATTAGAATTCTTACATATCGGAGATGATTGCTGCAGCTCCATAAAGACATTCAGAGTTGTTGGTTTAGAAAAACTCAAGAAAATTGTGATCGGAAAGAATTCCTTTACTCTAGAAATTAATTATTATGGGAAAACTGAATCCCGTTCGTTTGAAGTGGCAGACTGCAAACAGTTAGTGACAGTTGATATTGGTCCGTTTTGTTTCTCTGACGGCCCTGGTAGTTTTGTGCTGCGCAATCTTCCTTCACTACAGTCGATCAATATTGGATCCTATAGCAGTCCTTCTTACGATTTTTATTTTATGTCGTTTGTTGCTAAAGGTACCTTTCTCTTTTTTTCTAGATATAGATTTGCCCAATCTCATTTCGATATCACTCGGTAACTGGACATTTAATGCATCTGTAAACACTGTTTTTGAAAGTACTTACTTGTCTTCTAAACATCCTTATTATTAGACCTTCCTTCATTACGTCTTCTTATGCTGGGAGAGTATGCTTTGAGTGGAAGATACGATAATCCTTCAAGCTCTCTTACAATGCGAAGTAACAGTTATGCGATTCTTTTATAGTGAGATCTTCCTTCACTAGAAAGCGTATCATCTCAAGGAAAAAGCTTTTCTTCCCCTCATATTGTTATTTTGGAGAGTATATTTACAAATCTCTCTTTATAAGATATTCCCAAAGTACATTCCGTTAGTCTTCCTGATTCTTTTAAAAATGTTACGCGACGATCAGTGCTAAGTTTGCTCAATTTCTATTGTCTTTAGTGGATAGATGTCAGCTCTGCCTTTTTTCCTTCTAAAGGACATCATGCCGACTACATAGAAAGCATCGAGTCTTCTGTGTCTTCCATAGTTATTCCCGATTGGGCATGTAATGATGCGAGTTATATCGAATTTGATTTTTCTCGATTCACGAAACTCGAGACGTTAGAAATCGGTGATGAATGCTTTGGATCTGTAGAACTTTTCAGAATTGATGGATTGAATCGATTGAAGAGCATTACTATAGGCAAGAACTCATTTACTAAACAGAAGAACGACTATGGAGATGATTCATCGAAATCATTCCACATATTGAATTGTGAATCATTGGAATCCATTGAAATTGGTGAATATAGTTTCGGTGATTATGCTGGAGACTTTGAATTGAAGAATCTACCAAAACTACAATCCATTCAAATTGGCACAATTGGAAGTCGTTCATTCAATTTTTGTGATTGTTCCTTCGTTTTGCAAGGTTCATTTTCCTGATTTTGTATTATGTAGATTTTCCCTCTCTTACTACTCTCACATTAGGTGATCTTACTTTTGGATACTCCATATCTACTGTTTTGGAAAGTAATGATATTGTTTTGAATTATTATCGGCAGATCTTCCGTCATTGGAGTCTATTGACCTTGGCGAATGTGCTCTTGCTGGAAGGTATGAAGATGATTCCTGTTCACTTACTATGAAAAGTAGTATGCTTTGTTTAAGATTACCGTGTAGATCTCCCAAATCTACGATCCATTAATTCCAGTGGATGGAGTGTTATGTTTAATCGAACCGTCGTTTTAGAAAGTACTTTCGAATTTTGCATGGTTCATCAGATATTCCGAATTTGGAACAAGTCTCGCTTCCTAAATCATTTTGGAGTTGTCAATCGAAAGAAGTGACAAGTACATCTTTACATTTATTTTCCATTAGATGTCTCCAGTATTTTAGACAGCCTTGTTATTGTATAAAAACAAGATTCGTACTTTTCACTTGGTTCATTCTAAGCCATGTTTTTGTTTGCCTTTTGATTGAAGTTTGTTTCATAAGCAATAGATAGTCAGTTGTTCTTTATTGGTGATATTAAGTTAGTAAAACATCTGTATCTTCTAAATAATATAGCCAACTTATTATACCCGAAAAGCTCCTCCCTTAATATTACTGGCAACAGTCCTAAACCTGCAATATTATCACCTATTGATTTGTTTGTAGCATTACCTCTCCAATATTTTCCAGTTACAGACTCGAGGGTCTTCTCTGAAGATATTTTCTTGTTCTTCGTGTATTTTGTAGAAATTCATACGTTGATCACAAAGTATTTTCTAATTATAATACGTTACAAGCCAGTGATAACCTAAATTAACATCACTTGTGTATAGAACAAACCCTTATAATTGTAATACAATTCTAGACCCATCCCATCATGGATTTCATAATCCTGAAGAGTAATGTGGTCCTTATAAGTGATATACCATTTTTGAATTCTAATTTTCTCTGGACGTGTTCCTAATCGTTAGGTAATGACATCGATCATACCAGTTTGTGCAGCAACTAGTTTCTTCAAATCGCCTACTGTGTCTGATGGATTGCACTTTACTCGAATTTTTCTTCCCAATCGATCATTCAGAATAACTTCGATCATCGAAACCTTCGATTTAGGTTATTATACAAAATAATGGAATATTTTTGAATTTCCAAAAGTTGTGAAAATCAAGAATAACCTTTAGGAAGATTGCTCTGATCCTTACATACTATCATATAGTATAGCTATAGACTCTAATCATGAATTTTGTTAGTCCTCGCAAATTGGACCGAATTCGTGGTTTTGACTATATCTATAGTGATGTTCGTTCAGGTGCCATCAATGTATGGTATTTTGCTGAGCTCTTCGATATTGGTGTTGATTCTGTGATTTTACTTTTCTGTGTTGAATTATAGGTAAATTATATAAAGGAACTGCCGTTCTTTCAGAGTATACCAGATTCTGGTCAAAGACCATCTTGGTTGAAAGAGAATCCAAAATCTCTAGATGAAGTGAGCGTTTATTTTGATATTTTAGTATAGTTCTGTGAGTATGTCATAAAGAAGGTCAGAGAGGATGCAGAAGGGATACTCCAGAAACATCAGCAGAGTTTAGTAGATCTTTTTTATTATTTTTCGTCATGTCTAGAGCAAGTGGTACTCATCGAAGAGAAAGGGGAGCAGCGAAAGTCTCAGAGGAGAAGTACCTAAACGCAAGATCCGTCCTTCTACATTGTCTTTCGATATTTTTCTTATTACTGATCAGTAGAAGTGCGAAAAGCGCTCCTTTCATTCCTCAAGGGTTTCAATCAAACCCTTTTTCTGCCCCTTCCTTTTCTCACCCAAAAGAGGAAGAAACTATGCAAACACCCCCAGGGTCCCCCAAATCCCATCTACCCTACGCTCCTCTTCCCTCCACACCCCCAGGATCCCCCAAATCGCATTTACCCTACGCTCCCCACGTTGATTCTCCCTCTCTCCCTGCTTCCTCCTCGCATCCAAACAATCTTGCAGAAAAGGCTTTTCAGCCATCTGCAGATTCCCTCTCCCCTGTGCGTTGCAAGTCCTCCGCTTCGTCGATTCCTCGCATTGCTCTTCTTTTTACCTTAGTGCTTTTCAGCACTCATTGCCACCTCTCCCTGCAACTCACCAGCTTTCTCATTCATCTTCTTCTCTGTGGGATCCAGCCTTCTTCTTCTTCTTCTTCTTCTTCTTCTTCTTCTTCTTCAACATCGTTAAGTTTCCCCGATTCTACGTTTCCGAGCTCTTCGTCTTCCACCTTTGATTCTCCAGCCAGCGTCTTCACGTTTGCTTGCCACGTTTTGGATGCTTCTTCCTGGCTGGCCTTCCTCTTCCCCGTTTTCTTTCCTCTCCGCTTCGATCGTAGCCCTCGCTTCTTTCCCAGCTCTCCGAATTTCCGCTTCTCTCCCGCGCCCATCGCTTCTCCGAGACCGTTCATCGCCTTCTCGCCGAGAGTTCGCCCGAATCGATGAGCCCTTCCATGCTGAAGATCTTCCCTGCCGAGCGTCTCGCTCTTCAGAACCACGGGAACGAGTCCAAGCACTCGTTCATCTCTCCCCACGAACTCCATGTGTTCACGCAGCGGCAGAAATCGCTCGACTGGGTCATGCAGCTCTCGCGCGACTACGACGTTTGATCCTCGAACCAGCGTTATGTCCAGTCGTTCTCCAGCCGCATGAGCGTCGTGGAGCTGGAGCAATTCATCCTCTCCATGCGCGATTCCGTTCGCTCGCACCTCCAATCCGTCGATCCCGAGAACGTGGCGTTCATCGCCCATCTCCTCACGCAGGAGCTCTACAACGTGAGCTTCTCGACGCATCGCGGCTCACTCCCAGCTCACCGTTCCCTCCGAGAACGACCTCCAGCTGCTCCACTCCCACGACACGCTGCCCCGCCTCTTTCTTCGCTTCTCGCAGCAGAACGGAGACGGCGCCGCCGATGTGAAGGAGCTCGAGAGAAAAATCACCGCGGTGTTTCCGGGGAAGCAGGCCTTCTTCGCGCTCTTCGTTCTCTACGCCGACAATCCCTCGCTCTCCATGTTCCTCGTCTCGGGTTCGCATTGGGGTCGGCGTTGATCGCAGAGCTCACCGCGGTTATCATGGAGCTCCACGCCTCGCTGCAGAACCCAGCTATGGACGGCTGCTTCCACGTCATGTCCATTCAGCGCATCTTCGCAAAGCTCCTCGGATTTCTCCTCTTTGCCACGTATTGGCGGCAAGAGCAGTCTCCCGCCACTTCCATCTCCATTCCCGCCAAGTTCTTCTTCGCGTAATTCCCGCGGGACGGAGCGAGCTGTAGCCTCCCCTTGAATTTAACCGAAATGGCCACGTCGTCCTGGCAATCGGGGACATATGGGGTCTTTTTGTTGTGGGTGTCCCAATTGTTTTATTTCGTTACGGCCCATATGGCGGCCTGCTGCCCCCAGTTAGAATCCTTCTTCTCCTTCCTTTCCTCCACTTATCAGTAGGATGTCAAAAATCGCCCCGATTTTAGGTATTCCAAAAATAGTCCCTTTAATCTCAACCATCAATTCGTGATTCTTCTCATCGATTCCTTCCCCGTTTCCCTCCCTCTTCCCCATTTCTCCACCTCCGTTTCCACTTTTTCTCCACCGACCGTTTCCTCGGGAGTTTCCTCAGAAGTTTCCTCAGAAGTTTCCTCAGAAGTTTCCTCGGAAATTTCCTCGGAAATTTCTCGGAAATTTCAGGCGTTGGTCCAAGCGTTTGACGGGCGTTTCGCCGATTTAGCGAGCGCGGTGCGAAGCTTGCAGAGCTCCGAGTCGAATAGCGGTTATTTGCAGCTTTCGGCGCGAAAAATCCGGCCTCGCGATGTGGACATAACCGCGGAATTCCGGGACCTTCTGTTCTCGCAGGACGGTTTCGTCCGGAGTTTTGCCGCGGGGACCCAGATTCGCTCGGAAGGGGAGTTACATCGTACGCGGTTGCTGCAGTCGTACTTGAAGCACCACGAGGAGATGAAGGAGCTGGAGCCGTTTTTGAAACTCCTCACAGTTTTGTGCGCACGAAAATTTATAACAAAGTCTGTTATAAACGAGGCCATGCGAGCGCATTACGCGTCGTTTGAGGCCCTGATCGAGCGGATCGACGAGGTTTCGCACGTTATTCTCGATTATGTGAACCCCCAAACCGTCTCCGCATCCACCATCAGCGCTAATGATCCCGAGATCATCCAGCTTCAATCTGCCGTGGAGTGCACCATCATGAAGCATTTGTTCAGCACGATAACCGCGGAAGTGCTGCGGGCGTTACGCGAGGGATTTGGCTCCACGGACTGGATTCGGAATTCCAGTATTTGGCAGGAAACCGTGCTTCGGTGTATGGTGGACAATATCCAATATGACTGTGTGCGTGACGACATACACAAGAGTGTGCTGAGCATGGTGCTTTTTTAGGGGAAATGGGTTTATTGGTAGTTCGAAGAAGGGAGAAAACAGCGAAATTTGCTCCGAATTCAGGAGTCGCACTCGGCATCGGAAATTCATCGCGTGCTCGCGTTGCAGCAAGAAATGAAAGAAAACGGGACGATTTCCGTCTCTTTCTACATGAATTCCATTACGCTGATCTTGAAAGAAATCGAAAAATTAGGCACGATTTTTGGAATTCCAGTCATCGAATAGACACCCAATACGAAGTATTAGCACGAGTCTGTTATGCCTTGTTAAACAAAAAGCGCGGCGAGTCTTTGTGGAATTCCAAAAATCGCCTCATTTTTAGCATAGCCGAATACTCCGCGATCTGCACTCGCTTTTCCTTCGCTCTCTGGAAGCTTTTGCCCGTACAAATCGCTTTTTTTTCTTCATTACCCTTCCAGAATTCCCCCGATTTTTCTCTCATCTCGAAGCTCCCCGAGATCCTCCCGGTCGTGTTTCGCCACATCCCCGCGAGCGCGGAGTTCGGGAGTCTCTTGAAGAACGTAAGTCGCGTTTTGATTCGCTGCTGGAAGCAGGGCGGCCGCGCAGACGAGGGCTGGCTGTTCGCTTCTCTGAGCGTGAAGTCGGTGTGCTGTCTGGCGGAGCCGGTGAAGCAGCGGGTAGGCGAGACGGGGAGGAGTGATGGGAAGGCGTTCTCGATCTTTGTGCTGTATATGATGAGGATTGAGTTCGTGAGCGCGGAGCACGTCGCCGATTTCTTTCTGGGGCTCTGGAAGAAGGTCCGCATGCACGGCGAACGCGAGTGTCGCCTGCTCACGCGCCTGCTTACGGAGTTCCTGTCGCTGCAGCGTTCGGCGTGTTTTCGGGAGCTGTGGGCACCGGAAGGAGGAATGAAGGGTAGATGTCCGGAGGTGGGCTCGGCGCCGTTTCTGAACGATGTGATTGATTCGGTGTTGGGGTATTGGGACAAGGAAGGGATTGAGAGCTGCGAAGAGGTGCGGGCGTTGAAGGCGATCGATTGTGGGTTTCTGTCGCTTCGTTTGGATTGAGCGGTGAATTGGAAACCAATTTATGTTCGTAAGTGTGTTTGTTGAATCAAATGATTGGTTTTTTGGTGATTCAAATTCCCTTGGTTGATTGTTGGTTTTTCACTGATGGTTGTACTTTTTTTGTTATATGATTGTAGTTATTATGCAGTTGCTACGCATTCTTCGGTGTGATTGTTGATTACCTTCATCTTATTCGATTGCTTGCTGCTTCCTGTAATAATTACCCATATATATGTTTCTTCCTCACCCTTCACTTGCATATTTGCCATTTGCCATTTGCCATTCCATCTCCTTTGTTTGCTGTCTCAAACACTCCATCCCATTCACTTCTTCTTCTTCAGCATTTCCTCGCGGATCCACTTCACGCGCTTCACACAGTCGACCTTCGTTTTCCCGGGCACTTCCTCCGCGATCTTCTTCCACCGCTCGTTCTTCTCCATCGTCGCCGGATACTTCTTTATCGCTCTACACTCCACCCCTCTCTCCTCCCCTACGCCTCCAACGCCTTCTGCTGACTCTGCGTCCAGCCCTGCTCGTCCTCCTTCTCTTTCTCTTTTTCTTTCTCTCTTTCTTTCTCCTTCTCCTTCTCTTTCTCCGTCGTTTGCTCCGGCTGCGACACATCATACCGCGTATCCAGCTTGATCTCCACCTTGTTCTTCTCCTTGAACGTCGACTGGTTGCGTCGGAACCGCGCGAACGCGTCGTCGTCATCTTCCTCCCATCCGTCCTCCGTCCCTACTCACTTTCGTGTTCTGCCCCATGTTTCGCTTCGTGATTTCCTCGATCCGCGCGCGGCACTGCGCTCCCGTCCGCGTCCGATTGCACCGACTGTACTCTCCCACATACTCCGCGATGCGCTCCCACCGATTCCGATACCCCGCCTACAATCGAAGGGAAATGCCGACCCGACCGGGAATTTCTTGACCGCCTGGCTGAGGCAGTGGTCCTCTTCGAGCTGCCATTCCACGCCCGTTTTGCTCTCCTTCGACTTCTCCAGCGCGGCTTCGTCTTCCCGCCGCTTTTTCTCTTCCTGCTCGCGGCGAAGACGCTCGATCTCGGCCTGTTTGGCCTCCTCCTAGAGAAAATAAAGCGAGGAAAGCGACCTTGGCGATGAGGTCGCGCAGCGCGGCGTTGATGGCGTCGACGCCTTTCTGGTCGAGCGACTGCAAGTCGGGCAGTTCGGAGGCTTCGCAGAAGGATTTTAAAACGGTGGCGGGGATTGCCTAGTTGGAAACGAAGCGAGGAAGGAAACGGCGTCGATCTGTTTGGACCACTTCTCCATCAGTTTCTTCTTCTCATGGCGCAGTTTGGCGCGCTCCTCCGCCTGCTTCTTTCGAATTCGCTCTTCTTCTAGCGATCAAAACACACCGCGAAGCAAACCTGCGCGACGCTCCTGCTCCTTTCGCTCCGCTTCCAGCCGCTCCTGCTCCCTCTTCTCTTCTTCTCTCCGGCGCGCCTCCTCCTTTTCTTTCTGTGCGTAATTGAATTCTGGCCGCGTTTTACTTCCTTCGCGATTCGCTCCTTCTCGAGCTTTTCCTTGTAGGCCGCCACGCGCGGATCCAAACGATAGGCCTTCTCCACGATCGCTTGGAGCTTCTTGCTGCTATTTCTGAGCCGCGACTCGATTCGAATTACTCCTGCAAGCGCAGTTTGCGGCGATGCGCTTCGTTCATTTGGTTCATCCAGCGCTTCTCGGCACGGGAGTTTGACTCCTATTCAGATCCAATTTAACAAAGAAACGATACTTCCAAGTTGTATTCGTCGTAGGCAGAGTAGACTCGCCAGGAATGGAACTCCCTCCAAAACTTGTAAAATGCATCCACTTTTTCCCAAGGAGTATCGATTGTTCCCAGAAGCGGACTATCCGTGAGTAAGTTGAAGAAAAAAGGAAACGCGGGTTGGATCGTACTGAAGCGACTGTAATTGAAGAAGATGTCCTGGAAACACTCAAAGAAGTCGTCACCTTCCTCCATCGTCGGAACAATAAGCTCGATATCCATGGAATCGTAGCTACACTCAACAGAAGCAAAAAACAGCTACGCTCTTCGCTTTTCGAGCGTTCCTAGCACATCGTAAGCTTCTTGAATTTTTATGAAAATCTGTCTGTCTTCCGGTTTGGGATCCGCCATCTTATCCGGATGATACTTTAATACGAGAGAACGATATGCAGAACGAATATCATCCTCCGTAGCTCTCCACCTCAAGTTTTCTAAACCGAGAACTTTGTAATAATCGTCATTGTTCAAATTGGAGAACAAAGCCTTCGACGTTTCGTCTTCGGAATCCGACTGATCCCCTTCCCGAGAGGCGTTTTCCTCTCTGAACACTCATCCTTCCCTTCCAACCTTACTGTCCCTGGTCGTTTTTCTGCTCCTGCTCCTCCTTCCAGGCGATCTTATCAAAATAGGCTCTTCCACATTGCTCGAATGAACAATCCTCAAACAAATCTACTCTGTCAGTGAACTAATAAAAACCGCAAACTTGATACAAAAAACTCGGTTGTACTCATCAATCCAAGTGAGAATAATGAGAAATCGCTCAAGAAATGAAAGTGCAAAAATCAATGGGAATTCCGCCATTCCACTATTTGAAATTCCTTTTTGTGTGGTGAAAATCAATAGAACGACTGATTGTTGAGGATGATGAATTCATACGATTCACCAGTGGAAACGAAAAATCAACCTAAAGAAGATAGCAGATTTGTGAGTCTGTATGCCCTTGTATTGTGATTTTGGTCGACTGTGACGAGTAGCCTCTGATTCAAATGATTAAACACGCTCACGAGTCATCGCCGACCAATATCACTGGTCAACTCCTGGGAAATGTCGATGAAAATAGGGTGGAGATTACTTTTGCCTACCCGATGCCCAGCTCGGAAGGCGATTTCCAGCAGGTAAACAGCGCCAATTTTCAGCAGGATATTATTAATCGCCTTCGTCAAGTAGAGTTGTGTGCGTTTGACGATTTCTAGACAAATATTGATAGCAACGTCGTCGGCTGGTATACTTCTACGTTCATGAGTTCGTTCTGCACTCCTCAGTTGATCGCCACGCAATGTCGCTACCAACTCGACTTGGGCAACAAGATGGTCGCTCTCGTGATCGATTCTCTGGACCTTTCCCGTGGCAAGTTAAACCTGAAAGCGTTCCGCGTGAATTCTCGGTTCGTGAAGCTTTTTGACGAGAACAAAATCACTTTCGATGAGTATCTATTTTATTTTCTTAATTTAATTAATTTTAGCCTGCAAGAGCGCCAGCTGTCCAGCAGCGACATTTTGGAGGAGGTGAAGATTAACCTGTGTGTGAACGAACTGGAGTCCGTGCTGCTCCGCCAGCTCGAGTTGGATTCAATCCTCCGCGAGGAAGAGCCCGTGACGGTCAATCCGATGTTCTACCTGGTTCGCTCGTTCATGCGCAGTGTGATGTGTAGGAGAAGAATATGGAGCAGGTCGTTGAGAATCTGGGCGAGGAGGTCGGCGAACGACACGCGTTTGCTGCGCCGGGACACCGAGAGAAGACGCAGGGCGATGTGGAGTTGATTATTGAGGGGGAGCAGGATGACACGATGATGAGCCAGATCCAGCAGAATAGGTGGGAATGGAGCGGAATTGTGAAGTGTAGTGGACTGGAGCCGCTCTTGGGATACTGCTCATTGAAGGATTTTTGCGAGCGGTTGTGCAGTGTGGGAACGGATGAGAAGAAGGTGTTGGAGAAGTCGGTGTGGTTTGTTTGTTGAAATCAGGTTGTTTGAGGGATGGGCAGAATCCTGGATTGGATTGATTGATATCGCGTTGTTTGTGAGGGTTTCTGACTGAAAAATGTTCAAGGCGTACAGCGGTGTGATCTTGCCCCAGCTCTTTGGTTTTCTGAGCATTCTGTTTTTGGGCATCGGCCTCATGCTTACTGGAACGAACATCATGTAGGAGATGCGGGCAACGAGTTTATTTATAGGATGACGCAAAAATCGTACTCTTTCTTGAAGGTAGCTTTTCGGCAGGATTTGAATGTGTAGGATATTTCTGTGGGTTTGGCCGCTTCTGTTTTCCTGGGTCTCGGATCGTTCTTCCTCCTGCAGTGGTGTGGTATATATGTCTAATGAATATTGTTTTTCTTTGGTGGTATTTTGTTTGTTCACACACTCCCCTGTCTCTGGGCGCACTTTCGCGTGCTCATATTTTTGTTCATGAGTGAAGTCTCCAAACTAGATGCCGTGCTTTCTTCAGCAGCGAACAAGTCGCCTGCTGAGGTACGCACCCCCAGCAACGTAAAGGAGTTGCAGGCCGCCCTTCAATTGATGTTCAAGGTAAATTCCTTTGCGGACCTTCCAGGATAGTTGTCATCAAAAATACCTAGTCAGAATGATTTTCTGTACTTCAAATCCTTTCCCGAGTTTTCTACGATTTCGAGCGATATTAAGGGCAAGTCGTTAGCCGATCTGCAAATTTTGTTGAGTACCGTAGGCGTACTAAGGCCGCTGGACTCTTAGTACTTCCCGACGTTCTTTGAAGATTTGAACGAGATCGACATAAGGTTTGACGATCGTGACAACTATGCCTTGTTTGAAAGTTTTATTGCCGCAGTTTTCTCCTGCGTCCATCAGAATCTGGAGAAAGCTGCCTCCATCGAGCTGGACCCTGCGTTGTGTCAGCCCGACGTACCGCCCTTCGCCTCCTATCGATCTCTAGACCCCCGTTCCATTCTACCAGCAAGTGGGAACATGTACTTTTCAGTTCCTTCCCTTCTTGCAATCGGCCGAAATCGAAAAGCCGCAGACGCACTTCCAATCGCAGCCCAACAACAGCAGCTCCAATTTCGTGCCGTTGCTGCGCGAGAAGCACAACGCGAAGAGCGAGTTCAAGCTGATGGGCTGCGACGTGCTTCCGAACTGCTTCGTTCTCGAGGATTATTCGCGGCAGATCGGAATCGACCTCGTCAACCAGGAGCTTCACGGCTATCTCAACCCCTACACCTACGAGATCAATCGTACTCGCCTCCTCCTTCTCGCCACGCTCACCGCTAGACGTTTGCTACCCCGACTTCGCAGATCAAAAACCCGATCAAATCGTCCCGCCTCCCGCTTTCAGCGTGGACGCTTGCCAGATCATCGACAGCGAGCCCGCGCTTTCCGAGCTGATCGCCTCGCTTCTCCGCGAGCGCTGCTTCGCGTTTTCGCTGCGCGAGCATTGCTATCGGTCCTATCTCGGATTCACCTGCGCGATTTCGGTAATCCCCGCGGGGAGGTGCGAGGTAGATCTCCACGGGGACGCGGGACTTCGTGATCGACGCGGTGCGGCTGCACGACTCGCTGTGGCGGCTGAACGAAGCGTTCAGCAACGAGAAAATCGTGAAGATTCTGGGCGAGGAGGACTCGCTTCTGCTGAAGCTGCAGCGCGATTTCGGGATTTACTGCGTCAATTTGTTCTCGATCCACGAAGCTGCGCGCGTGCTCTCGCTCCCCGATACGTCCTGCATCGGCGTGCTCGCGCACTACACCGGACGCTCGCTCCGGCCGCTCAGCCGACTCTGCGACTGGAGGTAGGCTCGGGGTTTTTCTGGAATTCCAGAATTCGGCCGTTTGCGAAGTGGATGGTGCAGGACGTGTGCGAAGCGGTGCATTTCCTCCCGTTCGTCTGCGACTGCATGAAGAAGCAGCTCGTCGAGAACTCTCCGCCCTCGCTGAACCTCGTAGGAGTTCGATTCCCGCGGGACGGGTAGATCCACGACGTGCTTGCCCGCGGGAATGAGTCGTGTTTGAAGTCGTTCGAGAAGCCGATCTACTCGTTCGAGTACGGCAAGTGGCTGATCCCGAAGTGGTTCTGAAGAGAGTGGCTCACGCACAGGCTCGGCCTGCTCTTCAACAAGACGCAGAAGATGCTGTTCCTCTCGCTGACCTACTGGCGGGACATCCAGGCGCGTCTGTAGGCACTGATCGGGTTTTGAAGTCACCTCCAGCCTCGACGAATCGTGCGAATTCGTGCTCCCGCTCGATTGTTTCGTGCGGATTGTCTTCAACGCCCCCGCGGTTCCGTGGAGCCGGGTCCTGCGCGCGCGCTCCCCCGCGGTTCAGGCGTCCGCGGAGGTGCTGAAGGAGCTGGTGAAGCGCGTGCTGGAGATCAAAGACGGGAAGATGGCGGTGTACGCGATGATCGTCGAGGAGAGCGTGCGTCGGAGCATGGTAGGGAGTCCCGCGGGGATGTGAGGTAGCACTGCGAGGTGACGACGTGCCAGTGGAATCTGTCGGACAGTTTCCGCGTGGATCAGGTGGATTTGGGACGGCGATCGGAGGAGATCGTGCACGAGAACGAGCTGTTCGCGTGCGACTCGCAGGAAGGACTGCTGCAGCGCTTGCTGAACCACGGGACGTTCAAGCTGGTTCATTGTGGAAACGTGGAAACGGGGTGAGGCGTAGCGAACCTGTCGAACGACGAGGGGTATCTGTATTATAACCCGTCGTCGCTGCCGTACAACGCGACGACGCCGCTGCGGAACTCGATTCCGTATCTGCCGATCGAGGTGGACGCGAAGGGCGTGCGGATCAGCAACGTGATCCCCGCGAAGTACGTCAACCGGCACATCCGCGAGTACGTGGAGCGCGTGAACGCGTCGCGGACGCCGCAGGACGTGGAGGAGATGCAGCAGATCAAATCGAGTCTGCAGCTGCCGACGATCGCGAAGAATCTGATGATGCTGGGCTCCGTGCTGGAGGACGATATGATCTCGCTTTCTTCCGACGACGAGACCGTCCTCGACGACGAGCTGAAGCAGATCGCCGTGGATTTGGCGTCCGAGGAGTACCAGCCGCACTACCCGCCTCGCACGCTCCGCGAGATCTACTCGCTGCCGCATAAGAACCGCGGGGATCTGAAGGACGGGCTGTCGATGAGCGTGAAGGAGCTGAACGAAGTGCTGGGCGTGGTGCAGAGCAGCGAGCTGACGCAGGACGACCTCGACGCGCTGCTCACCGAAAGCTCCACGGCGGAGATGAACGACGTGGAACCGTGGAAACGGGGTAACGCGTAGATGGAGTTCCTGGACGCGATCGGCTGGACGTCGAAGGCGGACGATCTGGAGAAAGTCTTCGCCGTAGACGACTGCTATCAGGTGGTAGCGGAGGAACGAGCGCAGGAGCGAGCGCAGGAGACAACGTAGAGACGAGAGAGAGGCGTGAGGAGCAGGCTGGAGAGCTATGCGAAGCTGATGGAGAGCCGGGGCGGCGGAGAGAAGGGAGAGATGGAGATGAACGGGTTTGGACAGGGCAATGGAGGACGCGGAGGAAAGGGAGGCAGACAAGGGTGGGAAGAAGGATGGGACGGTGATGTGTAGGAGACGATATGGACCGAGGGGAAGCAATAGTGGTGGTGGTGGTAGTAGTAATAGTAATGGTAATAGTAATAATGGTGGGAACAGTGGAAGTGGAAGTGGTAATAGGAACATGAATATGAATCCTCGAGGATAAGTGAAGTTGGGAGGTGAAAGAAGAAGAAGAGGAGGAAAACGAAAAGGCGTGTTTGTTTGAAAAAGGCTCGATTTGGGGAATTTTTATTTTTTTAAGATCTAGATTCACTTATTGATTTACTAAATAATGTCTCTTGAAACTGATCCTGAGCGCGTATTTGAAATACTAGAACGAATGGGAGAAGGGTAGGACCGGAGTGCCGTTATGAAGAAATAGCTCCTACGGATCCGTGTGGAAAGCGAGACATATTAAGTCAAATCGAATTGTCGCGATAAAGATCATACCTGCTGATTCGGAGCTGAACGACTTGATGAAGGAAATAACGATTCTAAAGGAATGCAATAGCGATTATATTATCCGTTATTATGGAAGCTACTACAAAGATGGAGATTTGTGGGTATGATGTTTTCGAACAGAGTGTGATCTTCAGATTGTCATGGAATTTGGAGATTGTGGTTCTCTTGCAGATTCGATTAACAAGGAGGCCGGGTTTTTCACTGAGCAAGAAATTCAGTACATCCTGGCCTCCGTGCTGTTAGGAATTTCGTATCTTCATGCAAACAAGAAGATCCATCGAGTGGGAATGAGCTCGTTTTGTAAATTGGTAGGACATCAAAGCGGGTAATATTCTCTTCACCAAAGAAGGAAAAGCCAAGCTCGCCGACTTTGGCGTGTCTGCCAAGCTCGACACGACCCTCTCCAAGCGCAACACCGTAATCGGCACTCCCTTCTGGATGGCTCCTGAAATCATCCAGGAAATTTCCTACAACGGAAAAGTCCCTATTTTCGCCCTTTCTCCCATAGGCCGACATTTGGTCCCTCGGCATTACCGCCATCGAGCTCGCCGAAGGCGTTCCTCCCTACTCCAACATCCACCCCATGCGCGTAGTTTCCCCGTTTCCCCTTTCCTCCAGGCGATCTTCATGATCCCGAACCGTCCGTCTCCGCGCCTTCGTACCGCGGGAAAATGGTCCCAAGTCTACGCGGACTTCGTCGCCTGCTGCCTCGAGAAAGACCCCGAGAAGCGTCCCTCGGCCCAAGAATTGCTGCAAGTGGGTTCTCTGCGTGCTTTTACCTCGCAGCACCGCTTCGTCAAGGACGCGGCGATCGAACTGCAGGCCTCCAAGAAGGCGCCCGAAGCCATGCGCCGATTGGTCGACCGGCTTTTGGCGCGCCGCGCCGACCTCGCGAAGAAGAAGCGCAAATCCAACCAGGGAACAAATAAGGTACTTTTTTGGGAGTGCCAAAAATCAGACCGATTTCGGGGATACCGTCGTGTCGCTGAAAGAGGAGCCGGCGGAGTCCGCGGCGGAATCCAACACCATGATCGTGAAGTGCGTTTTTTTGTGTGTCGTCACGCCAGATCGGAGCCCAGCGGGTATGTCGCGCCGTCCAATGAGGGCACTGTGCGGGAAGTCCATTACCCTCCCGCGCGAAACCCCTATCGAATGAATCCGTCCACTCCCATCCAGCCGATCCGTCCGGTCGCACCAATTTCCGCACCGATTTCCGCACCAATTTCCGCACCAATTTCCGCACCAATTTCCGCACCAGTTTGGATGGACTCGGAAGTGAACGTGCAGAGAGGAACGCCGAGGCTGTCGGGAGGGAATGCGTCGACGCGGCTGGGCGTTTCGCGGCGTAGGGGAGGGGAATGGCGTGGAGGGTAGCGCCGACGACGATGATGCAGAGCGCGGTGGGGAGCGCGACGAAGGGGCAGAGCGAGCTGCAGCGGTACGCGTTGAAGCTGCTGCCGACGATCACGGCGAGGCAGCCGCAGAACCAGAGCTGCTTGACAGTCGAAATGGAGGGCGCGGTGAAGAGTAGGAGTGGATGGGGACGCGGAGAAGGGTGGAGGAGCTGAGGAAGCAGTTCGCGGCGGATCTGCAGATGCTTTTTGACACATATGAGAGCGAGATTCGGAGAGAGTGCGAGCAGATGAGGGAGATGGAGGAGCGCAGGAGAACGTGAGGGGTTGAGTGCGAGGCCTTTGCTGTGTTTGTGGGGTGTTTGTTGAATAAAGGAGTGGGAAGAGAGAGAGAGAGAGAAGGGGACGTTGATGCGACCAGGGGATTTTCAGAGAAGAGAAGAAGAAAGCATCCAAAATAGGAGAAGATGGATTGAAGTATTCACCATTCAAAATACAGACCGAAGTGGAAGTGATGAATACAACAAACACAGAATAACAAAGATCAGAATGTTAACCATATACAATAATTATAGTTATCACTATAATAAACCGCCATAAACTTATTTGGAGTAAAACAATTAGATACTTGAGGAAAACAGAATATAACAAAATGGTCAGCGTTTTTGATAGTATTCATATAGAAATAGCATAAACATTTATAGATTCGATAAAACAATCCAGAGAATCCAGGTATTTACTCCATGATTACGTTACTAGTAAAAAGAAGAAGATTTCCATGAACGGAGTTCAATATGAAGTGACTCTATATCAAGGAAACCATTCAAACGAATATTTGTTGAGTGAAATCAAAAATGGTAAAGTTGAAGGCCGTTGTCAGTTATTCAATCGTGGAATCCTGAGTCTATCATGGATGATGAAAAATGGTAAACGAATAGGTGAAATAACTGAATATGAGAATGGTAAGGCATTACAAAGAGAAAACTGGAATTCCATCCTTGGAAATAATGGAGATCGAAGAATGATCGAAAACGGTAAAGAAGGATTGATAATGGCAATTCGATGTAAGTGTAAACATGAAATGGGTGAAGAGAATGATGTGGTGATCTATCGAGGCGGATTTGATAAAGAAATGAATCGAAATGGTTATGGAGTGGAATATGAAATAGAAAATGGAAAAGAGAAGATTGAAGGGTATTGGATAAAAGACAAATTGATTCGAATCATTCGTGAATTTGATGCTGAAACTAACACTATGGTCGAATATGCTGAAAACAATGGTGAGGATGGGAATGGGAATATGGATTTATTGAATCGAGTTCCCATCTATGTTGGAGGATATTGTATAGAAAATGGTAAATATGTACGAAATGGAGTGGGATATTTGATTGATGAAACAAGCAGAACAGCAATTCGTGAAAGTGAGTGGGAACATGGAGAGGAAAGGCAATGTGTCGCTACTTTATATAAAGGTTGGTATGTTGGAGGAATGAAAGAAACTGATAAATGTGTTTTGTCAAATCAAAATCAAAATCAAAATCGAATTGAATTGAAATCTAATCCAATTGTACACGTTCCTCCCAAACGAATGAAGATATACAATAGTGAAGAATTATTTGAAATGGATTTGAAAGTAGAGGAATTGGTGATTTGTTCAGGCAGCTGTAATGATTTATATAAATTGGATTTGCGAAGATACAAATCGCTGCAATCAATCGAGATTGGCAATGACTGTTTTGAATCAGTGCAAGTATTCAAAATCTGTGAATTGAATCGATTAAAAACATTGATAATTGGCGAGAATTCCTTTAATCATAAAATAAAGTGCGATGACGATGAAAACATGGGATCATTCACCATTTTGAATTGTGAGTCATTGGAATCTATTGAAATTGCGGAAAATAGTTTTCGTGGTTATAATGGAGAATTTTATATGTTTAATCTGCCGCAATTACAGTCCATTAAAATTGGTATTATTGGATCAAGAGCAAGCAGTTTTCCACATTTCTCATTTCATATTCGAAGTAATGATATGATATTGTATATTTGATTGATTAGATCTTCCAAGTCTGCAATCCATTACACTTGGTGATTGGGCATTTTATGATTCCTCTTTTACATTGCTGGAAAGTATTATGTAAATTTGAATAGAATAATTGGTATAGATCTTCCATCATTACAATCCATTAAACTTGGTTATAGAGCACTTTGTGGACATGATAGTGTTCGTTCATCTTCATTGTTTATGGTCGGTATGGATGAAATCTTTGAAATCCTTGAACGTAGATCTTCCAAATCTTACATCCATCATTTCTGAAGAAGGAAGCTTTTTGTGTTCTTCAATGGTGACCTTAAATAGTATTTTTAAGTATTGAGTAGTAATTGTATATAGATATTCCAAATCTTCAAATTGTCAAATTACCTTGTTCATTCCAGTGTGTTCAATATAAATCTATTGAGAGTATTATAAGATGACATGATTTCATTCATAGATGTTTCTCCTCTTCTTGCTAATCTTGTCAAGGCGTCCATTTCTCTATTCCCAGAGATTGATTCAGATGAAATATTATATACACAATGATTATGAAAGAATGTGGTTGATTGATTGTTTTTTCCAATACATATTCCAATATCTTTGTTATTCCATATCCAACATATCAGAAATGTGAAATATAGATCAATCATTGTCTATCATCTATTTAGGTCGATAGTTTCCTCATACTACTTATTCTGTGATTATAATGATTGTAATACTTTTCTTTTTCTCTTTATTGTGTGTTACCTTTATGTATTATCAACCATGTATCGTTTTGGTACTTCACATTTCACATAATACTTCTAATCTGGTATTGTCTTGATTTTTGTTACGTTGTATCACTTATGGTGTTACCTTAATTGCCAAAAGACCATTAACCTTGAGAGTATTCGTGAACACAACTATAATGTTTTCCATTTGTATTACGTTGCTTCTCTCAAATATACAGTATGATATTTAAAAAATACTTTTAGTCTCATTACATATCAAATCTTTTAAGATCCCTCAGGATCTATTCTGATAGTGGCTTACACAGTATCTGATTGTTGTATATTGTTGAATTGCTTAACTAATATTTCCGTTTGTCTCATACACCACTCTGCGGTACATACATTCGATGAATACGATCAATGAAAACATACATATCTGCGTATTACAAAACATCATCGGTCTGTGCTTGAATTATATGTCAGTCGTCAATATGCTCGTTTCCTTTAGCATAATATAACAACTATGTGAAAATAGATAAACACTCACCATCGAAAGGTTTGCACATATTGTTATCCTTTTCTCTGTTTCATTTTTCCTTACACCGAGTGATATTTCTCGTAATATCGATTCTAAAGTTGTCTATTTCCAACAAAACCAGAAAAATAACTCATTCATTTACCTAGTATACACTTCTTTGCAATACATATATTTGGCTCTATTACTTTCCTTCAAATAGCAACACATCTAGAATAGCAACAGTTATTTTGAAACGATATTTGAATTCGCTTCGATTAAAGTGGACATCAATTGGATTTCTTGCTTGTTACCAATTTGAGTGCGTCGAGGAGCATCCGTCGTCTCCGGATTCTTCTCGCCCATATCTACTTCAACCATTTGAACTTCAGTAGACAGGTTTTTCTTTGCTTTGGTCTCATCCGATTCAATAATCTCCTTCTCCAGCTCGTTTATCGGTCCATAAATGATCTTTTGATTGCTGGCCTTCCAATCCACCTCCTCTTTTCGGTTAAATAACCACGATAAGATCCATGCGATCGTTCGCTCACTACTGAATCGGAACTGGATCTTCTCCCAGAAAGTAATTATGTACAAGTCCACAATCAGATTCACGATCATAAAAACTCCAACAGCCCAGAAGCTCCACAGCGACTCCTTCTTTTCCAAGTCATAAGGAAAACCAACCACCACGATAAAGAACTTCCGAATCTGTCGAGAAACCCAAGTTTCCCAAATGTAACAAGACAATGATACACAGCTAATTCGTCTCAAAAACGTAACATGCTTGTTGAATTGGTATCGCTTCAAAAGAGGACGCGATTCGTTGTCTGATAGATGCGATGCAAATACAATCACCAGACACTCGAAACCCAACTCACAGAAACGGACAAAACTTGGCTTTCTGTGGCTTAAAACGTTATTAAAGGGATCCGGATCTGTTACGAGATATAAAATAGCCACTGCAACAGCTATACCCATCATGCTACTTGCGTAAATCCAAAGAGGTTTCCATAATTTTGTACTCACCATGATTATTGCAATACACCCACCCACTAATCCAAAGGGAAAACACTGCGCTATCATGAAACTTCCTTTCCCGAACTTGCTGCAAATAATTCCCAAGAAGTTAAATTCATATTTGAAGAGCCATTCAGCCAGCATCACAAAAAAGTCGGCAATTGGTAAATAGAAAAATAAAAGAAGAACAGCAATTGCAGAAAGGATTACCACTTGGCGCTTATAATCCTTCCGAGCCCAAGGAATGCGTCGGACCAAATACACAGAAACCGGGACCAGTAAACCACAAGCTCCGATCGAATCCAGCGTACCCCCGTCCGTTCCGAGTTCAACTTGAGGGAAGCGGATGGACATGGTTTGAAAAATGCCATACTCCTGCCACCAATTTTTAAAGAATATCTCAACAAACTTGAGGACAATAGCAAAGGCAAATCGATATAGAAAGTAGCTCATCACAGCTCCTTTTCCTTTACTCTCTATTCGAATGATGTTCATAGTACACGTCATGGATGTAATGAACGTGAAAAATAACCCCATAAGGCAGATAAGTGCTAAGGGCGCTAATACAACTATTACAGCGATTGGAATTCGCTGGATATAGTGGAGTTCAATATCGTGATTCCAGTCACAAATACCAGCCTCAAATGTGTGAGCAAGTAGCATACCCAGAATAGCCAGGCCTTTTCCGTAATCACATGCATAAACTCGCTTGGATACCATATTCACAGGATCAACTCAGCAATACAGTAATTATGAATAAGAAGAAATGAAACGCCCATTAGTGAGTTCTAAATTTGAACGGATGTAATAGAAAGCTTGATCAATAAATAGATGGTTCCATAAACTCATAGAGCTGTAGAAGGTTTGGAAGATCACGAACTCATAATTGGGTCATTCTCCATTATCATAATTATATCGGTAAGACTCAGTAATCTGTGGATAAAACGAATTGGTTGTTTTCTATCCCCTGATATTTGCAGATTCATTGTCTATGATATCTTATTTCTCAAATTGTTCGAAATCGTCTATTATCACGATTGGGATGAATAATAGCAGAATTACAGAACTGTTTACAACTTCTACAGAAGTATGGGTATTGTGTTCCTTCATAAAAATAATCCTATTTCTTTAAGAGATTCAAAATCATGAATTACAGGATGAAGAGGAAAATAGTTTTCCATACTATAATTGTGAGTAATATTGGCGAAAGGATTCATTTTTCAAAAACGAGATTCTGAGAAAGAATTCTGTCTTTCCTTTTCTCTATTTCGCATTTCTATTCTGTCTGGAATAAGAAAATGAAGAAATAGGACGACAAAGAAAAGTTTGAGAATGAGCTCCTACGCTGAGAAGAAGAGAAAACTCCAGGAAGAAGAAGAAAAGGCAAAGGCTGTGGTGTCTGTAATCGTGCAGTTCCAAACGGCTGATGTACTACAAAGAGTGTTACTTTGATGTAGGGAGAGCGTAAGGGTCCTCAGATCGATATCCCAAGTAACTCTACACCTTCTCAGTTGGAGGAGTTACTAAATGAACTCCTTGAGTCCGAAGAGACGGTTCCATTCGCCTTTTACATAGATAAATCTGAAATATCGAGTTCTGTAAATGAACTTACCTTTGTTGCAGATTCTTCACTCTGATAATGTAAGATATCATTTGTACTCAATGCTGCCGCTTTTCCTTCTATCTGTACCTACAATGTTTTTACCTTATATAAACCCTATTGTCGTAATACTTACATAGATTAACAAATAAACCATATCAAAGTGATTCTGTTTTCTACTCGTTTCTTTCCCTTATTTTTCGTTTGCTTCAAAACGTAGCAATGCTGTAATCATACCAATGAATATTTCAAATTACGATGAGCAGATTTTTGTGTGTGTAAGATACATTCTGTTCTGCTTAACAGCAATAAAATCAATTCTGTCCCCATAATATTAATCAAGGTTGTGGAACAATCTATACCACTTATCCCAACGCCATAGAAATACTCTAGAAATGAAATAGAAAGTGGGAGTTGAATCTTTAACATTTATTTGTTTATTCCAAGAATAATGTCTATTATACGACACGCCAAATTTGCTGGATCGTGGTACGTTCAATGGACATAGTGTCTATGCGATAGGTACCCCAAACAGCAATCCGTAGTAAAGGAAATGATTTCTGGTATTTTTCTTTCCTCCTATTTGTCTTATGTTTAGAATGGTTCTCGGATGTCACGATCAAGGAAAAAGAAACCATCAAAGGAATCGTGGTTCCTCACGCTGGCTGGGTGTATTCTTTTTGTTTAGGCTCTCTTGTTAGATACTCCGGTAGAATTGCGGCCGAGTCTTTCGCTCACCTGCAAAATCAATCTGTGGAACGTGTATTTGTGCTGGGCCCTTGCCACCGATACTATTCTCAGTGGGAAATCTTCTTCCAATCGACAGTAGAAAGTGCATGCTTACTCAAGCTACCAAAGTGGAAACTCCTCTCGGAGATCTCGACGTTGATACGGAAGCAATCACAAAGTTGAAAGAATCTGTCTATGAAAAGTTGGGTTGTTCATTTGCAGAATCTCTTCGGCTCTTGCAGCATGCGAGACGAAGAAAACGAGCACAGCCTTGAAATCGAGCTTCCCTTCGTCTACCACCTCTTCGGATCGCGCGCCAAGGTGGTGTTAATGATGGTGGGCGCGGTTTCATCGAGCTACAAATCCAAAATAGCTCCGTTCCTCTCTCTCTTTTTTATCTTTTATACCATAGAGTCTTAGCGCCATTCCTCACCGACCCCAAAACGGTCTTCGTAATAAGCTCCGATTTCTGCCATTGGGGCTACAACTTCGATTTCCTCTACTACAAGGATCGCTCCAAGCCGATCTGGCAGAACATCGAGGAGCTGGACAAGCGCGGCGCGGCGCTGATCGAGCAGCAGTCGGCCGACGCGTTCGCGGAGTACATCGAGGACACGGACAACACGATCTGCGGTCACAACTGCATCGAGATCTTCCTGCGCGCGCTGGCGGCGAGCGGCCTGCAGACGACGACGCGGATGCTGCGGTACGGGCAGAGCAGCCGCGCGGAGAGCATGGCGGACAGCAGTGTGAGCTATTGCGCGCTGAAGACAGCGCTGAATGCGTGGATTGTTTGTTGCTCAAACACGAGAAATGTGGTATTCTTCGAAGTAGGGACGCGCACAGTCGAGATTCACGGAGATTAACGCTTCGTCTAGCGAGTGAAAACGAAAAGAAAGGGATGCTGGTGTGGGTGGCGGAGGACACGACCATCATCGACGTGTATTCGGTGAACGGCTTCATGCAGATGATCGTCTGCCCGTCTCGAATCGTAAAGCCTTCGTACGAGCTCCGATACTTCCTATTCTTCACTCCCCTTCTTCACACGCACGTCGTCACCAGCTTGAACTGCTTGATCGTGTTGCTGATCTTCTCGAAGCGATTCGAGTCCAATTTCAAATCATTGCTCGAGCTCGCCAGCACCAAAAACGTCGACCGCTCGAACAAAACCAGCTCGTCGCACTCCGTGAGCTCCGCGATCGTGTTGAGCTGCTTCTGGAGACGCTGCGAGTCGGGGACGAGGCTTTGGATCACATTCGACCATGCCTAAAATCGGGGGGATTTCTGGAATGTACGAGATAGAGGGTTTCGTCCCAGATGGAGGTGCCGAAGACGCTGATGGGCTTTCCTTTGGAGATGCTGGTGGCTTTTTCTGTGTAAAAACTGAGTTTCTGCGGGGAGACAAAAGAAAAGAAAGAAAACGTTGGCTTTTTCGGACTGGGGGATCTTGTCCATCTTGTGAACCAGGACGTAGACGAGCGAGTTGGCGCTGTACATGTTGAGCTTCTCCATGGCTTGCTGGTAGATCTTCCAATCCACCTACGGAGTGACAACATGGGAACTGGGTGGAACCTCCTGCTGGTCGGAAGCCACGTCAAACACGAACAGCATCATGCTAACTCCTGAGAAAATATCCTTGCTTCGGTTTGTAAATATGTCATTTAGAAAACGCTCTTGTCTATCGGTGAATCCGCTCCAGTATAACGCACCCTCCGCAGTCGAGAATATTTAGCACTAGATTCCCAAGAAAACGCACTCGGACTTGATCTACGTCATTTTCAAATTAGGGAAATAGCAAGCAATTTATAGCAGGATATACGTTGCAGACAGATGAGAGGCGTCCTTGGCTACTCATGATTTCGTACCACTCACGATTTACCTTCATAATTTGCAAATATGATTGAACGCATTGATGTCTTCCCCGCATCACAATTACCTATCAAGAGAACCTTTGATTTACCTCAAAACGAATCTGATACCTTTCCACAGAGTAGATCTTGCATTGAACGAACTCCGTATAGAATATAGCAAGAATATCAAAGAATAGGTGAAGAATCGAGCTTTGACAATCCCCGCGGAAATCACTTCCTTTTCCAAACGCAGCATGTTGTCTCTCACTCGTCATTCTGTGCGGGTTTTCCAAAAGTTTTTTGCTCGGAGCTACACATTCGAAGCGGTTGCGCGTGATCATCATGTGTTAGCAAATAATCTACAAAAGATTGCAGAGACGGACAGGAAATTCGTTTCTTATGAGGTTTGATTGCTCATCGGAAGAATTGATTATAGCCGGAGATCTGGGATACGCAAATCGCAATCTCGGACATAGAAGAGATGTACGGTACTTTGTATTGTTGATCAGGATGAAAACTAGAGTGTTGTGAAGGGGATGACGCATCTCAAGAGATAACTCTGAAAGAAATGGAAAAGTCGTATGAACTAACGAAGGAGATGGAAACCAGCATGGCCTTGCTTCGTTAAATCTGTGTTTGGGTGTGATGTAGACTGTTCTCTCGGGAATTTTACGAGTGCCTTCCTCGAACTCCACGCAGGAGCCGGCGGCGAAGACGCCTGCGATTGGACGCGGATGCTTCTCGCGATGTACACATCCTTTGCGCAAAAAATGAACTGGAAATGCAAGCTCATTTCGAAACTCGACGATGGCGACAGCTGCCACAGCAGCATTCTCAAGCTCGAGGGGGACGATCTAGCGTCCTATCTCTCCCTGGAGAGCGGCGTTCATCGCTTAGTCCGCATCTCTCCCTTCGACAAAAACCAGCGTCGACACACTTCCTTTGCCTCCGTCTCCGTGTCTCCCGTTCCGGAAGCGGCTTCCTCTCTCCGCATTCTCCCCACCGAGCTGCAGATCGATCGGTTTCGATCCTCTGGGCCTGGCGGCCAGCATGTAAACAAGACGGAGAGCGCAGTGCGCGTGACGCATCTCCCTTCTGGGATCGTGGCGGAAGTAGGAAAGAAAGGGAGGATCGATTGTAGTGCCAAGCGGAGCGAAATCAGCATCAGAACTTGGAGATCGCGATGGAAATGGTGAAGTCGAAGTTGCTGCTGCGAGAAGCGGAGAAAGAAGCGGAGAAGAAGCAAGAGGATCATGCTCGGAAGGATGTGAATGCGTGGAGCAGTCAGGTGGGAGAAGAAGGAAATCGTTAGCGGTAGATTCGATCGTATGTGCTGCATCCCTATAAAATGGTGAAGGACCATCGGTTTGGAGTGGAGGAGGGAGATGTGGAGAAGATATTGGGTGGAGATTTGAAGGGTTTTGTTGAGGAAATTGCGAGAAGGAAGATGTATTCCGATTTTGGGCTTTGCGTTGTTTGTTGGATTGAGAATATTATGAGGTGTGATGTTAGCTATTTCTATCAATGAAATATGTTCTTTGCAATAGTGGATGATCGTTGTGGAAATAACTGATATGTTAGCACTCAGTTACAGGCAATCCAATCTGGTATTTCTTTATTCTATTATGTTTAATATATTCACAGCACACCAACCCCTAATAGTCCCACAGTTCGTCCTAGATTCTTGATGACCACAAAATAGGATATTTATAGCATGCATTAATTATTCCCACTTCGTTAAAGATTCCAAAAGAATCCAAAGCTCATTCTTATTTTCCTGTCCACACATCCTCAATTAACCCGCTTTATATTTGCACCTATTAATTATAGCAGTTTATTTTGCAACGGAACTTCAATTTCCATTGAAGAATTTTTCCAGTTTTGGATACTAAGTAAAAGTAACGGTTTTATTCTAAAATGATTCTGTATCGAGCTAAAGTGCGTAATTTTATTGTTGTTCATTGATAGGTGAAATATACTACTCAAGGGAACCAAGCTGGTTCACTGTATGTGCCTGCAGGAACGTACGTGGATATTTTATATGAAGAAGATGGTTGCGCCATGTGCCAGACAGCAGATGGGAGCGTAGGGATCTGAAACCAAGCTTACTTTTTAGAGAGGGCTAGTTCCTCTTAATTTCTTGTCGAAAGATCGCGAAGACGATTGTTTTATCAATTTTGTATTTATTGACACTAAGATATGGATGATGATGTTGCTAATTTTGCCGGTGCTAATAAGGACTATGTATCTTGCTTTACTACGTCTACAATCCTAGGATGACGCTGTACACAGGGAGTTAAATGATGCCATTCTAAATCCTTGCTTGCGCAAGGTGGAGCAGCCAAAGCCAAAGGAAGTTCAGCCTGTAGGCTCGATTTCTGCCTTCTATGTGGTAGTTACAGCCCGACTCGGATTTAGCAAAACTGCTCGCGTTCAAACGTCATCAAAACGATGATTTTTACATTGACAATGACGACAACGGAGCAGAGAGGCAACGATCTCCTGTCTCCTCACCCCCACCCGAGGTTCAGCGAAGTCCGGTCACTTCTCCGCCTCGCGAGGTTCAGCGAAGCCCCGTATCCTCCAAGCCCGTCACATTCACACCCACATACAGCTCTCCTCCCGTCGCGCAATCCAAACCCAAATTCGTTTCGCACAGCGTGGATATGGATCAAGGCGAGCAGTTTTCGAGGCCAACTCGACCGAATCGGCCGACTCGACCTTCGCGGAACGGCGCAGCGAGCGGCGTGGGTCCATCTGCGAAGAGCAGCAGTAGCAGTTGTGCGGGTAGAGCGGTGAATCAGGATGGGGGGAGACAGGCGGGACGGTTTGGAGCTGCGGAGGAGGAGAAGCAGAGAGAGAATGGAATGGCGAGGGATGCGATGCGAGGACAGATGGGTCGAGAGATGAGGGGAGAGAAGAATGGGAGCGAAAGTAGACGAGCGGAAGCGGATCGAATGGAGAGAGAAAGAAGGAAAGCTGAATCCAATCCGCAGTACCAGAACTATCAGTCTGCGCAATCCACTCCGCAGTATCAGAACTACCAACCTTCTCAATCCAATTCTCGAAATCAGCCCATTCAATCAAGCTCTCGAAATCAATCCGCCCAATCCAATCCTCAATATCAAAACTATCAATCCGCCCAATCCAATCCTCAATATCAAAACTATCAGTCCGCTCAAGCAGCCACGCAGTATCAGAACTACCAGCCCTCCCAGTCAAACTCTCGAAGCCAATCTGCGCAACCCAATCCCCAATATCAGAACTACCAGCCCTCCCAATCAAATTCAAGATATCAAAACTACCAGTCTGCCCAGCCCACGCAGTCCAATCCTCGAAACCAGCCTTCTCAACCCGCTCAATCCACTCCTCAATACCAAAACTACCAGCCCTCTCAACCAAACTCCCGAAATCAACCCTCTCAATCCAACTCTCGCAATCAGAACTATCAACCCTCTCAACCCACTCCCCAATACCAAAACCCTCAACCCACCCAATCCAACTCTCGAAGTCAACCCACCCAATCCAACTCTCGAAGTCAACCCACCCAATCCAACCCACCTCCTCAGCCCTCACAGAACTCGAAAGCATCTTCATCGCAGTCCTCTTCATCCTCGCAACGTCGTGGCGTGGTGCGTCTTTCCATTCTCTCCCCACTCTAGATGCTTTTCTCCTTTTCCCTCAACGACTCGCGCTGCCTCACTGCCTCCAAAGGCGAGCAACTCATCGTCTTCCTCCACAAATCGCCGCCCGATTGGTACCTCTGCCAGAACGCCCACGGGCAGGTTTGGGTTTATCGCTCTTTTCTCCGTAGCGTGGAATCATTCCTCGAAATCGTCTTCGCGTGTATTAAAGAATTTTCCAACAAACACTTCATAACAATATTGCTTTTAATAATCTCTTTTTTATTCCTATTCTTCTTATGTTTATTCCAACACCACTTTGTTTTCTATATACCCCAATCCTTCGATCGCCACACGCACCACATCGCCCTCTTTCAAATACACATACGGCGACCGAACGAATCCCACTCCCTCCGGCGTACCCGTAAACACAATCGTTCCCTTCTTCAACGTCGTTCCCGACGATAAGAACGACACCAGCTCCGCGACATTCCAGATCATGTCGGCCGTGCTCGAGTTCTACCGTTCATTCCCATGCACTGCGGGAAACCTGCATTACCGAGTTGTTCAGCCGCGTTGAAATGTGCGCGCGATTGATCACCGCATTCATCTCGCTTCCCAGGACGATCTGCGGGCCGATCGGGCTGAACGTGTCGAAGGATTTCGCACGCGTCCACTGACCGCCGCTCTTTTTGTTGCCTTGCCAGCGACGCGCAGAAACATCATTGCCGATGCAATAACCATGCACGTAGCTCAATGCCTCTTCTTTCGATACATTCTTGCAGTCCTTGCCGATCACCACGACCAGTTCGCCCTCGTAATCCACCTAAAAGACATTACAACCCAACTTCGAGAGTACTTCGGGCTTGGCAGCAGCACATTTCGGAATCACGATATTGTCGAAAGGCCCGGTGATGGATGAGATAGATTTCATGAAAACAGCAGGGAAGGCAGGAATGGGGAGCTTTGCTTCCTACAACATAATGGACCCCTATTATTATTACTGCAGCATGCTTCTTATAGTTGAGTCCAATACCGTAAATGGCCGTAGGCTCAATAGGAGGCAAGATCTTCAAAGCCACGTCCATCGTATTGGATAACTTGCATTCTCCAAATACATCGCCTTCAATAACACGGACCTCGCACTAAAAATAACTCTGGGTGAAAAATGGCACTTTTGGACAGATTCCAGCTTCTGGTTGTCCATAGCGCTGCACACCATCGGGACCAATATAGCGGATGTAAGATTTCACAGCTTCTCCAGGAACCGACTAAACCATAAGAACTCCATCCAAATACGATACAAAAGACCGACAAAGCACAGAAGATCTCAGCAACGAACTAGAAACACGACTCAACATTTGGGCAGAAAAATAAAAATGGAGTTCTATGTGATGTACAAAGGGTATAGCAAAACAAACAAATCATGTAAACTGACAAATAGGCTCAAAACTCAATTCGAGTAGATTCTTTGACTGCTTCAATTCCTTTTGGATCATTCAGGTGTTGGTAAAACTCATGCTCATAGGAACTGCGCTTTACGAACTCCTTGATAGCAAACGTCTTTTTGTTACTTATCTTTCTACCAACTGCCTCAATTATCACTTTGTCACCAATCACAGCCTCGTCATTTTCGTCATGAACAATCATTCGCGTTCTCTCCGCTACATTCTTCTTAATGTGGGTATTCCACTTCCTAGCAGTCACCAAGCCAAAATTACAAATACATTCTCTCCACGACAACTACACACGACTTTTGCATCTTGGTTGATACAACGGTAGCTACATATCTCGCGACCTTTGGAACAGTAGCCATGGTCAGTTAGCAATTCGCAATACCCCAGAAATGACTACAATTGAGATGGGAGTTTCACTCTATCTGCTTTTTAGGAAATACATCACAAATCATATTGATTTTTTTGAATTCCTATGTGTCACAAGACAAAGTGCTCAAAGTGTAATAAGCCGACTTGGGCTGGATGTGGACAGCATGTGGATTATGCTCTCAGTGGTGTACGGGAATGAGGTCCCTATTACTGGTAGATTCCAGAGGATCAACGCTGCCATTGTAAACCCTGGACGCAGGAACTTGTAGACCAGAACCCTGAATTTAAGGGACAGGGATGTTTCATAATGTAATTTGACTTGTTTGTTGTGAACACACTTCATCTTTTTCCCAATGCAAGACAATCATAAAGTGGCGTGCTCGTTTTGTAAGAAAACCGTCGAGACAACACTTTCCGCTGTTATCTGCCCAGACTGTCTAAAGGTTTGATTGTACCTGATTTTGTGTAATTGGTAGTCTGTGATCGTCAGGAATTGCCCTGGATGTGGTCAACCAGTGAAAGAAGGCACCGGGACGAAAGAACACCAAAGGACCTGGCATAAGGATTGCTACACGATCTTTGCTCTTGACAGTAGGATTGCAACAAGATTGTGATGGATAGAGCAAGAGGAAGATGATTCAGCTGATTATGATACGGGTATAAAGTCAAAAACGAAAAGAACCCGCAAGATATTACCTGGAAATAGCACCTATCTCTTCTTCGATAGTGATGCCGATAAAGCCTCGTCATCCAACTTTTCCTCTGGAGTGGGGAACGCCCTCGACTCTTCTATGGATACGGATAGAGAGAAGATGGAGGGCAACTATTCATCCATGCAAGTATTCGAAGTTGTTGATTTCTCATTAGAACGGAGAATACGATGTTCTTTCGCTTCCAGAGGGCCAGAATCACAGTAGTCAAGATCTGGCCAATGTGCGTGTAGGCCTAGCATTCCGTCGTGTTTTGTAGAGATTAATGGTCACTATGAAATCCCTGAACGTAATCCGTGACAACCACATCGAGGGCACCACCTATCACAACACAATCACCGGCGAAGAGCTCGTCGCCTTTTTAATCGACCGCAAAATCTGCTCCAACGTCGAAAACGCCAAGAAAGTGGGGTACAAGCTGCAGAACCTGCACGCATTGAAGCCGGTGTACACCGACGATCACCACGACCCCGACGAAGTGTTCGCCTTCGAAGGCGACAACGAGCTTTACCACGTGGACAGCCACTTCCTCGTCACGTACTATTCCGCCGTGGAGTTGAGAATAGACGGCAGGAAACGACGCAGGCGGCGGAGGACATGCAGCAGAAGGACCACAGCCGCATGCTGCAGAAGTCGGGGTATCTCACGACGATCAGTGCGAGCGCGGGAGAGGCGTGAGAGATAGATAAGGACGGGAAAAGCCAGCGATTGTGGTACGAATTGGCGTCGAACATTCTGCGATCGTTTACTGCGCCGGTAGGCCGTGGAGAGGGCGTGCGATGCAGGACACCAGCGTGCAGGACGCGTATTATATCGGGGAGTTTACGGTGGTGAGAGTGACGCACTCGAAGAACGAGCAGACGATGAGTTTCAAGGTAAGGAAGATGATGGGGGTTCAGGGTAGCTTGTCGGGTCGGTGCGTGAGTTGACGTTTCAGGCAGACTCGGTAGAAGAGTGTGATGAGTGGATGAATGTGCTAAGTAACGGAGCGTTGGATGTTTGTTAGAAATTGGTTGATATGATCGATATTGATAGTTCTGAGTTTTGCGTATGCGGAGAAGGGTATCCTCAGAAGGAGGACTTCCGGTTTGTCGAGGGATTTTTAGTACTCACGTAGAAAGTGCATTATCTGGTCTCCAATCCACCCAGCCACCTGGATTCTGCCTTTTGTTGGACACATGGCTATAGCTGACTCGCAAGGCAACCTTTACGATTTCCAAGGCACGAACTCCATCGGAAAGAATCACTTACTTTTTGGAAACCCAACAAAAGCCATTCCGATCGGCATTCCCGGAGAAAATGATGAAGAATGGGATAGATGCGTCAAGAATGCAATTCATCAGTATCAACACGAAGAATATAACTTCCTGTACCGGAGCACTCCAGTTTTTTTAATTATGTATAGAAGCAATAACTGCCACGATTTCGCGGCGTGTGCTTTAAACCAGATGGAGCTTCCCCGGTTTAAAAACCACCCATTTAATTGCACAAACTTAGCATTGCTTGCGGTTTCACGCGGCCATTTCCTCGGCTTTGGTTCATTCTTACTTTCCTGGCTTCCTTTCCTTCTAATTATTGCGTCCATAATCGTTTCTATCGTTTTGTGTCTTGTTTGTTCAAAAAAAAAATAAGAGCCCAGCAGAGATACTTATTCCGATTGTTCCACTAATTGCGGACATTCATGTACCTTGTGTCCAGTCTCTTTGCAGTTCGCGCAGACAGGCTCGTTTGTGCAATCTCGTGTCCAGTGGCCCAACTGGAAGCAGTTACGACACAGCACTGCGTTGCTGCACTTCCTAGCCGTGTGTCTACGATGCATACAACGCCACAGAACTACCCTTCCTCGCCACAACGACGACATCTGGGGTTATTTGGACAATGGGCAAAACTGTGACCTACTTGCAGGCAGTTATCGCTAAATTCGTTAGAACGAACCGAGACTTACCAGATTGTGAAAGCTAAACAATGAATACCACATAATGCACATGTACTTTCATCCGTCGATGTTTCAGTTTGTGCTTTGCGGAGCTGAGGACCCTGGTAGCGGAATCTGCATTCGTGCTCGTTGTGTCCCAGTTTTCCACAGACCAAACAGCGGTGGCTAGAAAATCGTACAGGAATTACAGCAGTACAATCTTTTATTATAATGCGGCGCTCCAGGTTTCGATGCTTGATATCTGGGTCGATAGCGGTATTCGGAACGTGGAGCTGCTTGCATAGTATTATTGGGGCTGGGGCAATCCGCTATTTTGTGCCCGATGCCTCCACACTTGTAACACCTGACAGCTTTCGTCTAAAGACAATTGAAATGCATACTGGAATTATTGTTCGATGTTTGACCTCGCTGCATGTAATGAAAAGAGCGAAAAAAGAATTTGGACACTTTCCAACAAACAGTCTAAACTAAAACAAGTACCATGCAACAAAAACAGAAACCTTAGATTCCCAAGGACTCTTCAGAATCCCCCTCTTCACTGCTCTCACTCAGAGCACCTTCAATCTGTACCGGCTCGTCCTTCTCTCCATCTAAATCAATATCGTGTCCTATCGATCCCAAAAACACGTTTGGTTCGCCACCGCCAGCTCCATTGAGTACATCTTCTGCATGATGCGTTTTCTTCGCTGATTCTCCCACAGCTCCCGAACTAATTGGGACATGGAGCCCATTTGAATCCATTGGGACATTGAGAGCGATCGGGGGGATCGGAAGAGCGGCAAGATTGGCATCGACAGGAACGGTCGGAATCATCGGGACATCCGCAACCGAATGGACCGAATTTGAATTCGGGACATTGGGGATATCAGAGAGGCCGGGGACAGTGGAGACATCGGCAAGAGAAGGGACATTGGAGACATCATGGGACAAACTATCCACCGCAGAGTCATTAGGGTCATTAGGGTCATTAGGGATATTGGGAACATTTGCAGCGTCCGGTACCCTAATTTTCTCCTTCAAATGAACGGCCAAAGTGAGGTTGACCAAGCGCGGATTTCGCTTTTCCTCGGTTTTGAACTTGTTTTTTAGCTAGATTCGATCGAATTCGGCAAGAATGGCTCACATCGTTCCGCGTTCGATTGGTGATGACCTGGTTCATCAAGAAGAAATCGGTGCCGAAACGACGCAAACACTGCACATCAACCCATCAATCGAAAAAAAGAAACCTCGTAAAATTGGCGGGTTTCCTCGACGGACCAGCTGACCAGTTTGTGTTTTCGTCTAGAGAGGGAGACTCGATGGGAGGGCGTACTGACGGTAGGGTTTATTGATCAGATCGGCGAGTTCCTGCTCATCGTCGCTGTCGTTTCCATCAAATTGGTCAACTTGACGGTTCTACGTAAATTAAACAGAACAGAGGGGAAGGTACGATCGAGGAACGGTCCAGAACGATCTGGCCGTTCGAGAAGGATACGGAGATTCCCTTGCGCTGCTTTGGGGAGGAACGATGGGACTCGATGGTACCCACCACTTCGCCTTGGAGAGTGGCACCCGATGAACTGCTGGCGGCTTGAGGGAGATTGCCTGTCTCATACAATTTGCGGTCCTAAACCATTCGGAAAACTTGCAATGCCCTACTCTCTTGAGTTGCTCCGCTCGCGTAGGAATTCCTTCGTTCGTAAACCGGATAAAATCACCCAGAGATTTTATATTCTCCTGGGAAACAGTTGGCTCCGTGTTTTTGTACATCTTCCCTATTTTGTGACGCTTCCGCTTGTACTCGCATACCCATTGCTTCGCTGACACTGAAATGGTGTTGCTCCATCGGTCTCCTTTCCTCATCCGAAATCTACAGAGAACGGCGGATTTACTGCGATTTACCATGTTGGGGTTATCAGAGAGATCCATTCTGCAACAATAGCAAAAACAGAAGCAAGATTTTAAACAAACAGAGAAAACCACCTAAACGAAAATTAATAAGTTCGGATTCCCCTTTCGAGAGACCAATCCTCTAAAAACCGAGCAGACGCATAACTGCCATCTGCTTGACGGAGGGCTTCATTCTTCAGCGTATTCTTCTTCGTGCCAATCGACGTATAGCTAGACACTAACCGATTTGAACAGAACCTACCCCTGATCATACAACTCGCAGTAGGGAATTTGAAACGTTAGCAGGAAGTTCCAAACGTCCCCGTACGTCCATTCCAGCAAAGGCAAAACGCGCATGAAGGGAGGATAGTCCGGCGTACTTGGCGTGTGGACGTTCAGATTGGCTCCTTGAGGGTCGGAGCGGCGAACACCAAGAACCACCGCCTTCGTTCCATAGTGATCAATTACCCCTTTTACCCCTTCTTTGAAAGACTTTGAACTGTGGTACACTTGCACGCCGATCGCACTCACCGTTTCCTTTAAATGCTTGTTGATCTCCTCGAAATCCTCAGGACTGTGGAAGACAATAAAGATCGAGTTGTCAACCGTTTCCTGGTACTCTCCGAGGCGTCCCTTTGCGTCCAGATACAGATACAAGGCTAATCTCCAGAGATGGGCACAGGCATCGGAATCCTTCCCCCCGTTATACGAAACGATTGTGCAGTCGATTCCAAAATCATCAAACGCTTTAAACAAAATGTCCACAGATTGCTTCACCTTCTCAAACAACGGAGGATTGGTCGTTTCCACCTCTCTATACTTGGCGACCAAGTCAAAAATCAAAAGTTGGTTCATTCTAACAAACACAAAATATAGTAATAGCAACAATCACATCGCACACAATTTATACTCCACGAACGAACGAACGAACGAACATATGTACGCACACACGCACTAACTATCTAAGAAACTAATTAATTACTCTTGGCAATCTCCTTTCCCTTCACGGTAGCTCTTCCAGTAATCACCAATGGCGGCTTCTTGGCATCCGCATCCTGCGCATCGACGAACACTTCCTGTCCGTTCTTGATATCGCCTCCAATAATCAGCTTGGACAGCGGAGACAGCAAATACTGCTGGATGGCGCGCTTCACCGGCCGCGCTCCAAACCGAGGATCGTATCCAGCCAGCGAGAGCCAGGACCGAGCATGCTCGGTGACCTTCAAGTCCATGTTCTGGTAGTGGAGCATCTGATCCACCGTCTTGAGCTGCAGATCGACGATGTTCTTCATGTCCTCGCGGTTCAGCTTGCGGAACAGAACCAGCTCGTCGAGACGATTCACGAACTCTGGAGGGAAGGTATCGTTCACGCGCTTGATGATCTGGCTTCGCACCGCGTCCTCCATGCCGTCCACCGAGTTCGCGTAGAACTCGCTGCCCAGATTGGACGTAAGGATGATGATCGTGTTGCGGAAGTCGATCGTTCGGCCCTGCGAATCGGTCAATCGTCCTTCGTCCAGTACCTGCAGCAGCAGGTTCGACACTTCCGGATGCGCCTTCTCGAACTCATCGAACAGCACGACTTGGTACGGATGGCGACGCACCGCTTCCGTCAGCGTGCCGCCCTCTTCATAGCCCACGTAGCCTGGCGGCGCTCCGATCAGTCGCGACACCGAGAACTTCTCCATGTACTCCGACATGTCGATGCGCGTGAAGCACGACTCGTCCTTGAACAAAAACTTGCACAGCGTCTTGCACAGCTCGGTTTTGCCCACGCCGGTCGGGCCCAGGAACAAGAACGAGCCCAGCGGTCGGTCGTGCGTGCGCAGCCCCGCTCGCGAGATTCGGATGCACTCCGACACCTTCCGAACCGCCTCGGGCTGGCCGATCACGCGCTGCGACAGCACGTCCTCCATGCGCAGAAGGCGATGTTTCTCGTCCTCCAGCAGCGTCGACAGCGGGATTCCCGTGCGACGCGACACCACGTCCGCGATGTTGTCCGCCGTGACGCGCTCCTCCAGCATCCGCTCCTTCGAGTTCTTGTTGTCCGCCTCCAGCTCCTTCTCCAGCTTGGGGATCGTGCTGTACTTCAGCTCGCTGGCTCGCTGCCAGTTGCCCGCCATCTGCGCTCGCTCCAGCTGCGTTCGCGCCTCCTCCAAGTCGCGCTTGCGCTGCTTGGACTTCTCCAACGCCTCCTTCTCTTCCTTCCAGCGCTGAATCAGCTCGTCGTGCTTCGCCTCCATCTTCTTCACATCCTCCTCCAGCGCCTTCAAACGGTCCAAACTGTCCTGGTCTTCCTCTCGCTTCAGCGCTTCGATCTCGATCTTCTTCGTCATCAGCTGGCGGTCGAGCTGATCCACCGCCTCCGGCTTGCTCTCCTGCTGCAGACGCAGATGCGACGCCGCTTCGTCCACCAGATCCACCGCCTTATCCGGCATCTTTCGATCGGTGATGTAGCGGTCCGCGTAGTTCGCGGCTGCCACCAGGGCGGAATCGGCAATTCGAACGCCGTGGTGCACTTCGTAGCGCTCCTTTAAGCCACGCAGAATGCTGATGGTGCTGTCCAGAGAAGGCTCCTCCACGATCACTGGCTGGAATCGGCGAGCCAAGGCTCCGTCCTTCTCAATGCTATTTCGGTACTCGTCGAGAGTCGTTGCTCCCACGCAGCTCAAGTCGCCACGCGCCAGAGCAGGCTTGAGGATGTTCGAACCATCCATCATGCCTCCAGTGGCTCCTGAACCCACCAGCGTGTGAAGCTCATCGATGAATAAAATGACTTGGCCGTTGCTCTCCTTCACGTCCTTCAAAACCCCTTTCAGACGCTCCTCAAAGGAACCGCGGAAGCTTGCTCCAGCCACCATAGCAGCGAGATCCAGAGAGACCACTCGCTTGTTCTTCATACTGTCGGGGACCTCTCCGGCGACAATTCGCTGGGCAATGCCCTCCACGATGGCTGTCTTTCCCACACCGGGATCTCCAATCAGAGCAGGATTGTTCTTCGTTCGACGGCATAAGACCTCCAGAGTACGACGAATTTCTTCTTCGCGGCCGATGACAGGATCCAACTTGCCCTTCTTGGCAAGTTCGGTCAGGTCGATTCCGTACTTTGCCAAGCTCTGACCCTTAGGGACATTGTCAGGGTTGGTCCACGAATACTGAGGATTTGCAGGAACTTCTGACGCAAATAGGGGGGAAGCTGCATGGAAGCCTCTAACACAGACGGCTGACCTCGAGAGTCTACAATTAACAGAACTCAGATATTCCTTACGTTAGCAATGGCCTTGCAGTGAACATGAGTTTTGTCGCTTTTGTTAACATATTTAAATAAAAAATGAGACTTCTATCCTTCTACGAAAGTTCCAGAAAACCGATCGATTTCCAAAAATCGAATTTGGCACCAAGAGGGTGTGTGAATGCATACAAGCATATTTCAGGCAGAAATCAGCAATCCCATGTGAGAGAAGAACCAACCACAGAACCGCGGAACGTACCTCAATGCAGCAATTGCAATGGACCATGATCCAATTGCAAACAAATGAAGTCTATGGTCTTGATTACCCGCGGGAATCGTTTTAAAGGAAAAATGAATCTTCGTCTTATCTACATATAATTCTAATGTCAACAGCGTTGGTAGTTTGTCAGGATACGGAGACAAAGATTGGGAGTGGAAACAATTCCCCTCTTCAACTTGATGATTGTGTTGTACTCTTTTCTCTCCATTTCCGTAATGGTCCTAGATATCTGGACTGCGTTCTATCCATGCCTGCGGCGTTATCCGGGTGATTATTGCGTTGATGAACGACTGTGAACAAATCAGACACGCGTTCGACGAGCTCTTTACAAAAACAATCCAGTTCCGCGAGTATACTTTTATTTCTATCCCAAATAACGCGGTATTCTTGCTTTTCATCTCTTTTATGAATAGACCGGAATTGGGGATGTATTTTGTAAGCATTCAGATGCTTTGATGACATACAAGTCATGTTTTGTTGTTTCCTGGAGATCGATCCCTCAGGAACATGTTTTGCGAAATTTGATGACGCGCTGCGAGAAGAGCGCCTCCATTCTAATTTCGACAGACTCAAATCCAAATTTAGATCACTGTGTCCCTTATGACCCAAATTCGATGACTCTTCACCCAACAGATGGAAATATTTCTCACTCCAATGTGCAGTATGCTGCTTGCAACGGAGTTTACTACATTCGTTCGATGGAGAAGGTTTCACTGCTGACCCAGCCGACTTCCATGCTATTCGTTTTATGCCAATTTGCGATTAACCATCCTGGCAGTGTTTCTGTCTGTCCGTATCCTGCCAATTCTTCTTCTTCTTCTTCTTCTTCTCCTACCAAATGCACGCTTTCGATCAATATTAATAATTCCACTCTTCCCATTCACAGAGAAAACCACTCGCAGCTATCACTAATAATCGAAGGAGCTCTCTCCGAAACACTCTGCACCATGGACTCGCTATCATCGTTTCGATTCGATGTCGAATCGAATTCCGTTCTGCGCTACTTCTACGGAGTGTAGCCACACGCGATTCCTTTGTAATTCACAGAAAGGACGAGCTTGGAAGCATCCAGCAATTCGAAAACCGCACGATTCCTCGCGAACTCTTCGTGCCTGAGGGTTTGGAACGTCTCGAAATTCACGATTCGCTCTCAGTTCCGTTCGTTTCGCACACAGTTCTGCGAGATTCGATCCACGTTCTTTTCTCACTGGAACACTGGCGCCACCAGCAATCGATCCAGTTCGTAGGAGCGACGATCGATGCCTCCGCCGCATTTGTGGTTTCCGTGAAGGAAGACTGCGTGGTGTGCGACTTCCTCGATTCGCAAATGCATGAAGTGAGCTTGCAGACGAGCGAAGGAACGATTACGCTTTTGGAAGACGAGCTAAACACGATTTTCACAGAGATTTCCGCAAAGCACAACGATGGAACTATCATCAAAAAGCTTCCCAATTCGCAATCCGTCGAAATCCACGTTCTGATTCTCTCTGCATTGAATCACTCGCGAACGTTGACCTTAAACCACCAAGTGTTGCGAGGCACTTCGCACATCTATTCGCCCAAAGCAACGCCCTTGTGGCTGGGACATCGAGGGTGTGGAATGAATGCGTCCTGGAAGCGATCGGAGGGCTGCGAGGTGGAGAATTCGCTGCGAGGATTCCAACAAGCTCGCAGTCGAGGTTTGTTGGGAGTCGAATTCGATCTGCAGCTCACGAAGGATATGGAGGTTGTGGTGTTTCACGACTATGAGATTTGTATGAATGAGTTGTGAGTGTGACGTAGTCGAAAAGGAACACGGCCAGAAACTCCCGATCGCTCTGCAAACGCTCTCTGAACTGAAGTACGATTCGATTGCGAAGCTAACACGCAGATCGATTCCGTTGCCAAGTTCATCGTGGTATCAAGGCGCGACTCAATTCATCCCAACGTTCGATGAAATGATCACAGACACACCCGGAGACTTGCTCTTCAATATCGAAGTAAAGTACCCCACACTTCCAGAGCTCGCCTCCGCCCATTTGCAAACTTCGAAAAACGCATACGTCGATCGCATTGTGGAGACTGTGGAAAGAACCCACTCCAATCGATCGATTTACTATTCTTCTTTCGATCTTGACGTTTGCTTGCTCCTTCTCTACAAGCAAGCTCACTATCCCGTCTTTTTGTTACTGGGTAGGAATGAATGAACGAGGTGAGTAATCTGCAGACGAGGAATCGGGATACGCGGAAATGGGGCGCGTGGAATGGAGAAACAGAGGCTGGAAGCAATATGTGGAGTCGGCGATACAGAAGGGGCCTTTTCGAGGAGTTGTCGCGTGCTCGACACTTCTTGACGAAGAAAACGTGGAATGGGTAGGAAACGAACGGTTTCGTGACAATTAGCTTCATCAGCAAGGTTTACTTGTGTTCTGCTGGGGAGACGAAAACAATGACAGTGAAAAGAGGGAGTGGCTTAAGAAAATCTCTGTAGACGCCATCATTGCTGACCATTTTTCAGACTAGTTTGTTTGTTTGTATATGCTCGCTTCTTTCGATGAGTGACGAGTCGCTGGATGCGTTTTTCATCACTCGACTAGAAAAAGTTGTCGATTTCCTGTTTTCCCAAGATATTGCAGGTACTCCATAATACTTTAAACTGTGACAAGCAGAACCGTTTCGAGAACCGCTCGACTGGAAAAAACTACAATTGCTAGACTATCCCAAGTTTGTGAGATATCCCATGGATTTGGGAACAATTAAGGTATATGTTATTCACATTAAGTTATAAGGCGAGATTAATGAACGGGTATTACAGCTCCATGTATGATGTGATGTATGACATTAATGCTATTTGGACAGCTTGTTTTTCGTTCAATTCCGTAGAACTCTGAACTGTCATTAAGAGTAGCCAGATAAAGAAGTGTATAAGTGTGCTGTGACGTTAAAGGAGATGTATGAGAACCAGTTAGAAGAGATATATGAAGAAAGTGGGTGCAACTTGAAGAATTGATTGTAGGCTATGAGGCAAACAGGTATTTAAAGAGAAGCTTCGCTATAGAATAGAGAAAAGTATGAATCTGTGAAACAAGAGTTGCTTGACAAGATTGTGAAACAGGGCGACGATCAGACATTCTTAATAATTCCCTGGCTTTCTTCTCAATGTGAGCAAAGCGTTGCTGAGGTATATTGTAAAGAAGAATGGCTGACACAATAGTCACAGAACAGGGTGGATATTGATTTAGATTTCGTCTCTCCAAAGCAATTTTATAGTTTGTGTCGTTACTATGGAATCAAGTTGTGATAGTGTGCCATTGTTTGTTTGTTGGAATCCTTTCTTTTTGGAATTGAAAGGTTGGTTGAACTAGATGAGATTCCTGATGGTTTAGAGTAATACTTTGCAATGGGTTGCATTCCATCTAAGAACAAGGGTATCTTGCTTGAAATACAATCACTGAATGATAGAGAAGCAGTCTAGTGAAAAAACAAATCTATTAGCGGAAGAGGTCGTGAATGATATAAGCACGCATCCTGGACAGGCATATGATATGAGTTTAAGGTATAGAATAGATGGTTGGGTGATTTTTACTAACTTTATCTAGCCCCGAGGAAGATCGGCCACTTTCTGCAGATCGAAAGAATGGAAGTCAGTATTTTGCATCTTTTGTGAAACAAAGCGTTCAGTATTTTGTACGTGGTATAGATTGACCAAAATAGAAACTTGATTGATGTTCCTTCTTTGGTGTATACACTTTATGGAACGCACAGCCCTTATAACTACTGTGAAGATTACAAGTAAATATGGGCATTGGCTTGTATGCTAGAGATGTCATTACCTCCGTGAAGGTTGTTGATGGTGTGCTGAACGTAAACACTGTTCCAGAATTCGATTCTGAGGATTCCGTCGACAATCTGCTGACAAAGCCTTCCTCAATCGATTATGTAAAGGTATGATATGATTGGCAGGTTGGATAGCGTGTAGCTAAACCATTGTGGCGAAGAATTAGAAGAAGCGGTGAAGAAGATGAATGTGAAGGGATCTTCCCTTGTCGTACATTGTGGAGACGAAGCAGAAGAACGACCTTGAATGGATCTTCGGTAACTGCAAGATTGTGAACAATGTGTATTTGTACTATTGAACTCTGTTTTTTTAAAACATTTTTGACATTGCAAAAGAATACTTTTTAAATAGATTCCCAAAGCAAAGAGATGAAAAGGAAAAATTGAAAATTGAAAAGGCAATGTAGGTCGCTAATTGAGGATAAATGTGTAGTGAAATCAATATAGAAGAGAGTGACTGATATTAGTTTGCCATGATAAGTTTCTGGTGTATTCATCGATTTAGCAGAAAAAATATGGCAAAAGTCTTATTTCGATATAGGATGTATGTAGTATACTACATTGCCAAGTAATATAAGTGTCTGAACATATGTAGAGAGATGTGCACAAAAACTGAAATGCTTGGATTATGAGAAATAGTAATAGGCGGTGCATGGAAGTCGATGTGGAGGGTAGAAGAATCGTTGCATAATTGGAATCAAAGCTATACATGAGAATATGTAGGGGTAGTAGCAGTCCTCAAAAGATCAAATCACTTCAAGGAGTATCAAAGAAATGATACGATAGTAACCACAAACCAGCGGGTAGTTGGTAAATAAAAAGTAAATTGAATGCGTTATTAGAAAAGTAATTAATAACTATACGAGAGAAAATCGATATCTGCATCAGTTTTATATTTCGTATTCAGGGTAGTAACAAAAAAGATGGAATGTTATATGAATGGGAACCATTTGCAGAATATATATATACTTGATTCTGGAGAACTGACAAATACAAATGCATATGGGACGTAGAAGTGATGAAATAGCTAGATTCAGAATAATCTACTTGTTGCTTAAAAAAAAGAGTTATTGCAAATAGAAGTGATGATACAGATGTAATGAAAAAGAAAATAATGAGTTCAGGACGAGAATGTGTGATCTTTATGGACATGTTTTTTAAGGAACATTAAACGGTTCAAACAGATGTGAACTATTCATCAATAATACATTCTTACAGGTGAACTAATTGTAAAAGGAACTTTGACATTATTATACATTTTCGATGCAAAAGATTGCTGATTTTGTCAATTCTGCTATTAGTAACTATCACATTGATAGTTCCATTATTCAAAATGTGCAGGGATGCTTAGGTGAGAAAATGAAAGTGGAAGGCTGGATTTCACTCATTTTGAGTAATAGAGAGTGTGTAGTATTGCTGTTCAATAATGGAATATTCATGAATCAAGGATTTGTAGTCAATGAGCAGAAAGTGTTGAAAGTGATTGGAAATCAACAAGTTGGTGCTATTTCCTATAATGAAGAACAATCCATAGAAGTAGTAGAAGGAATCGTGGATTTGGACCATGGAAATCGATTTGAAGGCTTGGTATTGACAGAAAACAAGTTTGGAATTCCATTTGGATATGGTGAAATGTATGATGATGATGGAATATTGTTGTACAAGGGCATAATGATCGATTGGAAACGATTTGGATATGGAACGAGTTATCATAATAATGGATGTATTGAATATGAAGGATATTGGTGTGATGATAATCGATTTGGAAGAGGAAAAGTGTATGATCGATCAGGCAAGTTAGTGAATGAATGCTTGTGGTTTAATGGAATAAAATATAATACTGATGAAAAATATGAAGGAGATGGAAGCAAACCACTGAATATCGGAATGAAACATTTGAAACTGATTGACAATTGTGTATTGGTTGATTGGGATGTTTCATTGTTGTATAATTTGGAATCAATCGAAATCGGTGATGATTGTTTTGAATCAGTGCAAACATTCCAAATCGATGGATTGAATCGATTGAAAACTATCAATATCGGAGACAATTCATTTACGCAGAAAAAGAATGATTGGGGAAATGATGAATCGAGATCATTCCACATATTGAATTGTGAATCATTGAAATCCATTGAAATTGGTGAATGCAGTTTCAGTGATTATGCTGGCGACTTTGAATTGAAGAATCTACCACAATTACAATCTATTCATATTGGTTCAACTGAAAATTATTCAAGCAATTTTTGGTATAGTTCATTTGTGATTCGAGGTAAGAAATGATATGATATTGAATATTTGAATGATGAATAGATCTTCCAAATCTACAATCTATTACATTAGGTTTTTATTCATTTCACCTCTCATTATCTACTATAATTGAAAGTATTGAATGAATTCGAATGAGTTGATTGATATAGATCTTCCATCACTACAATCCATTCAACTCGGCTATGAAGCACTCTATGGAAGTTATGATCAAACATGTTCGTTGACAATGCGAAGTAAAAATGAAACGATTAAAAATAAAATGCTTTGCAGATCTTCCAAATCTAACGTCCATCGATTCTGATAGTGGTTGTTTCAGCAATCCTTATACTGTTACTTTGGAAAGTATTTCTGAATATTGAATATTGATAGTATTCAGACATTCCAAATCTTCAAAAAGTCAAACTACCTCGATCATTTGAGTGGACTCTAAAGGGATCAATTTCAAGTATTTTTGGTTGTCTACACTTCATTCACAGATGATGTTTCTTCCGTTCTCGCTGATCTTGTCCATATCAACCCTATTGTAAAACCTGTAACTGAAAATTTAAATACTGAAATTACACAAAAATCAAAATGCACTGTATTATAACTCTATAATATATTGAATACGATTCCTTTATTGGATTTACTCACTTCATTTCTTTCCCTTTTATTCTATTCAGTGATCCTTACATGTTTTATGCTTACTATATATATTTGTTTGTGTCAATACCAAATAATCATCTTATGATCATTGATTTAAAAATCCTATTACACATATTCTCTATTTCATCATCATCGCAACTCAGATTGTTTTGGTTTATACTTTTTGAACCTTCATGTAATTTATGTTAAGAGTCAATACATAGAATTGTAAATAAAAAAGAGTTTAAGCAAGGCAATTGAATGTGGCTAAATCTACAATGATAGAAATGTGGAGTATTTGACTGATAAAGGACTAAATTACAAAAGAGTCAAGCAACATTTATTAACATATCTATAGTGTACCTGATTTTTTATCCCAATTTATTTGATTCTCGTAGTGTAATATAGGTTAAGGATTTTAAATCAACTGCAACTATGCAAATTGATTCATAATTAAATAATGATATGGAGGAAAGATATCACCATAATTCATTTTCACAAATTATCCTCCACATACGAATTACATCCAAATTTCAAATAAAAACCATACCCAGAATTGAAGCGTAAATGGTTTTATTTGGCCCTTATATTGATATATCATGTATGTAAAACAAATTGCGACTTTTTAGGACTGACAATATGGACCTCTTTGGCTATGAATTGAAATGTATGATAATGATACATCAGGTATTTTGGTGTAAAAAGTAAAATGCAAACCAGAATGATAGGAATTACACCTTCAATTTATCACTTCAGATATTGGTATGCGTTTACAATAATTACTACATGGAAATAATAAATATCATTCTTATATAAAAATGGCTAATACTGACTTTATTAATAGTATATTATTACTTGACGAGAAGTATGGTCAGCAACTTCTGTTTATGTGGAATCATAGGCAGAGTATTATAAGTGCAAGATAGAGTACACAACAAAATATATCGGGTATGGAAATATAGAAAATTTAAAATTATCTGCTTTGAAAGAACATTCACATAATATAACAAACAATACATTAAAAGCTATAATTCGAATGCTATCAATCACATATCGTTACGTTTTTCATTTACAAGATTCGCAAGAACTGGAGCAACATCTATTATTCATAAAATAACGACAAAATATACTGAATATTTCTTTTTGAATAACACTTCCGAAAGTAGGTGCTTCATCATCATCAGGCAGACTTACGGTTTTAAGATTAGGAATATCTAAATGCTGTCAATACTCAATGCTATAGACTACTTCTCAATGTCACCCAACGAGGAAAACTGAAACTCCATTTTAAAGAAGTTAGGGATTTGAGATATGGAAGATCTACGTTCTGTCATTTTAAATCATATCATTATTACTTTTCATTGTCAAGGAACAGTAATCATCAGGCATTCCTTGAAGTGCACAATAACTGAGTTCAATTTTCTGTAATGATGGAAGATCTACATCAATCATTTCATTCAAATTCATTCAATACTCTCGATTATTGTTGACAGGGAATAAGAAAATGTCCAAACACCCAATGTGATGGATTTTAGACGCGGAAGATCTAGTCATTACTTGTGAATATCAGATCAATACCTCGAATCACAAATGAACTCCCATAGAAATTTGTAGAATAATCTTCCATCGTACCAATTTGAATGGATTGTAATTGTGGAAGATTCTTCAATTCAAAGTCGCCTCCAAAATCACCAAAACTATATCTACCAATATAAATAGATTCCAATAATTCACAATTCAAAATGTGGAATGATTTCGATTTATTACTATTCTTCACCCATTCTGCCACAAACTGAGGTTCAGACAAGAAATAAAGGGACAAATTGTTAAATGAATTGATTCCAATATTTATAGTTTTCAATCGATTCAGTCCATTGATTTTGAATGTGTGCACATTTGCAAAGCATTCATCGCCGATTTTTATTTTCCTTAGATAAGGATAATTAGACAATTCAAATATAGTTTCATTATTTCCATATCCTGATTCTACTATATATGAAACTTGCTTAGATCCTATTCCAAAAAATCCGTAACCCAGATAGATTGCTATAAAATAGAAAAAGAAAAGAATGATTATAATTACAGTCACAATCACAGACAATTTTCTATCATTTAGTAATGTTTTACTTAATCCTTCTGTCTTCAATTTATTTATGAAACTATTTTCATTATTATTACCGTTCAATTCATTTGTGTTTTCATCCTTTCCAAATTCTTCGCTTTCTTCTTTACGTGGATAACCCATTTCCAAACTATCAACAAATCCTCCTTCATACACTTTCTTACCATTCTTATATTCTATCAAACTATTATCATGGAACTGTTTCAATAATGTATCTTCTTTACCTTCTTTCCATACACTCACACGACTAATCTTTTCATCTTCATAAGAATAACAAAACCCTTCACTATTTCCAAACTCATCTTTCTGACTAATTCGAATGATTCTTCCTTTTTCATCCAACTCTTTCCAATATCCCTTTCCCATTTCATTCGATGGAACTATATTCAGTTTCTTACCTTTCTTATAATATCCATCAAATACCACGTTGCCATTTTCATCATATTCTTGTCCTCTTCCTTCTCGATATCCGTTTACAAAGTAACCTTTGTAAAATAGAATACCATTTTTACAGAGTGTACAAGGTCCTGAAGCGATTCCATTCACAAATGTCAGAGTTGCCATCAGAGTATTATCCTGAGAATAAATACTGGATTCTCCGTCCATTTTCCCGTTTTTCATTGTTGTTTTGATAAGACAACCTTCATGAGGCTTACCAACTTCAATATGAGCTGGGCCATCTGTTTCTCTTCCTGACTTTATAGGGAACTGCTCCGAAACGTTGTATTCCCACCACTGGTCTTTTTCGTTAGTATTATCACTAGCATTGTTTATTGTTGGTAATTCGATGTTAGTAACGTGAATGGCGCCTGTTGACAGATTACTCATTTACAATCAATAGATAATAGTGTGTAAAAGCCAAGGCAAAACCGAATCTACTAGATCCTTGATAATCAAATGATGACTGCCCGTTTTGTGCGTTTCATTTATATCCATTTATTTTTGCCTTATCATTTGAACAATCAAATCCATATTGAGAAGTGAAACGGTCTAAAAATTACTCTTCACTCATTCATTTCCATTCTTAAGAACTATTTCAGTTCTTTTTGCTGAAATACTTGTATAAAGTATATGCACACAGATTACTGGTAGAGCTTCTTCATTATTATGATGTTCCCACAACTTTCAAAGGATTTGTTTGGTTACATAGTGCTACACAATAGTCCATATAGTCTATAAGTGTTTTTTCTATCTCACGAAATTGGGTATTTTCTGGCTCACCAGGAGTACCTGAAAGTGACATATTGAATTTAACTAAATTGTGGCGGGTTATTTAGTAGTTGTAGTATTAAAGTGTAATATTAAAATACAAATACAAATGATTCTATGTTTGGATGAACAAACGCTGTATGAGACAATATCATTTAATCATTGCTAAAATTCATTCATGCATAATCGATAATGTTTTTTTGATCATTAGAAAAATCCGCCCTACTTATATTTATTCAACAGATTCTTCATGTCCCACTCATTTGACCTTCTCAAAAGTTTTCTTTACGTTTTTCTTAAAAGTATTCTTTGAACAATAAAGCGTTTTGTGTTCTCCTTTTCACTGCATTCATTTATCTGTGCTTTAACATCTTCGGAAATATTCCACAATTCATCCCCCTCACTTTTTTTAAACAAACAACTCACAATCAATTATCAATCCTCCTTCTCTCTTTCTCTTTCCCTCTCTCTCTCCTCTCTCCTCTCTTTCATCTTCTCCTTTGCCATTCTTGCGCATTCCACATAAAAATTCGCCACAGCCCTCATGATCATCATCACCATCGCCAGCACCGTCGCAAAATAACCCATCACACCATCCCAAGTCACACTCCATGTTTTCTTCTTCACTCGCAATCGTTGTAAGTGCCGGTAATAAAGAAGGCGAAAACCCAAAAAAAAGTGAATAAACAATTTTGGCCATCGTCCGCTCTCGAAACCCTGGACTGTTGTTTCGGGTATGCGATGATTCGGATACAAAACATTCAACGTCTCATTGGCTGCCTCGCGAACTTCCTCTGTGGGAAACAGGGGACCACCTTCGGTAGATAAGCGCTGTAGAACCGACTGCATGCGGACAGACAGATCGAAATTGAGCGTGATATCCTTGAATTGATGAAGTCTGCTTGTAAACAATCGGTGTGATCCCACTTTTTCAAGTATGTGATGAGGGTTTCTTCGGATCGAATCTGCGATAAAACGAGTATCGTGTATAACAGAAGAATCGACGAGGGCTTTTCATTACGCAGAAAAACAAAAAAAGTACTCGATGATATCGCTGTAGATCCAATAATCGGCACGAATTATTCACTCCTTCTAGAATTCCCCCTAATTCTGTCCTTCCAATAATCCGGCCAAAAAAAGCCTACTCCAATTCGTAATAAACAAAGTATTTCCCGAGGATCGTAAGCAAATCACTCAAAAATACGCGAACAACGACTCGATGGTTCAGGACATTCTCTCTCCATTGGCTCTCTGCGTTGGTAAGATCGAGAGAACACAGTTCCGTGTATTCTTTACTGCACTGGAGAACGGTTTCTTTGATGGTCGTATAAAGATGCTCGAATTTGCTCTGATTGTTGTTCAGGTCGAACATGAATAAGCGGTTGCTCCCTTTGAATACACTCACCAAGCAGGGCAAAAAGCTGAAAATAAGCGAAGAGACTATAAGAGAGTACAATGATTGCATTGGCTCTGACACATCGATTTCGTTGGGGTGCGTCAGAGTTGTGTGCAGGTAGGAAGATACGAATGGCATTGTGAGCTCGCAGAAAATCGGGTCAAAGTACGTGTGGCTGGACATGCTGTTGGCGATCTCGATCAGTCGTTTGAGAAGAACGTCATTTTTGTTTTCTAATTCGGCGCAGATATACTCTGACACTATCTGCAAAGAAGATAACGCACTCTATGCCTACTTCGCAGTATAGAGAGTTTGCAGTCAGTGGAGACAAATCCAGACGAGAAAGGATCCTCAAATCAATATAGTTACTCAAGATTAGAAGACAATCCTCCATTATCTCGTCTTGCTCCGATTCTGTCTCGGCAACCATTGCAGACTACTTGTTACCACCCCTTTACAACATACTTCCAACCGACTCAATATCTCTTCGGTCATGTTTTTCTGCAAATGCTTATAGGTGTCACTAGACAACGCAATCGGCTTTTGTCTACAAGAATTACTTCTTTTCCAAAGACATTACACATCGATGGGAGAAGGCGTAACCTCTTCTCTTGCAGATTCCTTAAGTAGTACGTTCTCTAAGTCGATTGTATCATGTTCCAGAAGTTCGTTCGGATAATGATCCCTCTCACTTGCCACAAAGTCATCTTCGGTTTCGCAGAGAGAAGAGTATGTGTCGCTTCGTTCTCGGAAGGACATTACGCTTTTTGAGGAAATAACGTTTAAGTCTGAAAAGCCACAGGAGTTTCATCTTCATTTGGAAATATTGTCATTTTTCATGAGTCAACCACGCATTGTGGACCTGACTCATGGAGAGAACGATGTTTCCATAATCGATCTGATCGTTGACTATTTGAATTGTTTTCTCATCTAGGATGATTCTTCAGCAGATATGTTTGAGGACCCTCCCCCATCATCTCTGTCTGTTCTTTCTAACGCGAGTCAAGAGGGTTCAAATGCATTTCGCGAATTGGAGAAAAAACAACAGGAACTTTCTGATTTTGAGCTCGCTAGATCGCTCCAAGTATTCTACTGTTTGGTGATCGAGTTTTAGGAAGCTGAGTTCCGAAATTTGCTTCAAAGTTCAGAGTCGAAATCGAAGAAGCGACCCAGCTCTTCGAGCATTTCATTGTATTTCAAAAACTCATCAAAAAAGGAAGACAAGGAGAGTGATGTGGTTGTCGAGTCCATTGTGTTGCCTCCGAGCTATAAAAAGCAGCTCAAATCGAGAAAGCAATCCGAAAAGGAGCTCCACGAGGAGCAGCGCCTGCGCACGCTCAATGTAGCGGCCTGTTTCGCCTCTTTTGCATAGAAAAACTATCTGGACAATGTTACGTCGCCACAACTTGAACTCTTGGACCCCACGCCCAATATCCACATTCTCTTTTCCGTAGGCTTGCACTTTGAAGTTCATTGTAGCTGTTCAATACTGCGTTTTTCTATGACAGCCTGAAATTCATTGATGTAAAGTGGAGCAAGAAAATGACTCTCTGCGCTGGGATTTGTAGAATGAAGGGGCTCCAGATCTCAATAAGCCTGTCCCAGCCCTTGCTTTCTCTGCGGCAGCGTTCGGACACAGTGAACACTTTGCTTGTAGGGGCTTGTATGCAGTGAATTAGTGCCTAGCACGAGATGATTCATGCTTATTTGTTTGTAACGCATAACTATTTTGATCGGGATGATCACGGAGAGCAATTTCAGAAACATATGAATCGCATCAACAAGGCAGCCAAATCACATATTACCGTGTATCATACGTTCCATGACGAAGTCGATTATTGCCGAAAGTGGTGGTGGCGCTGTGATGGCCGCTGTCGGAGCAAACCTCCTTACTATGGGTATGTGAAGCGAGCGGTCAATCGACCACCGCAGGCAGCGGATTGGTGGTTTGCGAAGCATCAAGAAGAATGTGGAGGGAAGTTTCACTTAGTGAAATCCCCAGAAAAACGAATTGACACTCTTTTTAGTAAGCAATGCTTTGTTTTGTTGAATACACATTTGTCTACAGTGGGAATAATAATAGTAATATTTATTTTTATTATTATAATTATTACTTGTATAAGTGTTAAGGATTTTGGGAAGAATAGAAAAAAGCAGCAAAAAATGCTCAAACTGGGGATCGAACCCAAGACCTTCGCGTTATTAGCACGACGCTCTAACCAGCTGAGCTATTCGAGCACTGATCTTGTTCCTTGTTTTTACTATTTCAGCATTGGGATATAGGTAGAATCACAAAAACTACCTAGAATGCCTTGAGAACGCCTCTAAGTATTCCATCTTTGTATCACATATCTGTGAAAACTTGTATAATCGTACTCCAACTGGTAGCCACTGTAATCACACTCCCCTTCTCTCCTACCACCACCAGTACCACACCCCAATAATCCTTTCTCCAACAAACACTCTGAGACGAGGAGAATCCTCATCTATACCCGTCTACACACAATAGAGATTGCGATCCACCTCTTTCGGGAACGGCTGCACCTCAATGTCCAGCTCCTGCTCGATGGTGAAGAACACCTCTTTGTCCTTGTCCGTGATAAAGTTCACAGCGAGTCCCAGATGTCCGTACCTTCCCGATCGTCCAATGCGGTGCAGATACGTCTCCGAGCTCTGCGGGAGATCGAAATTGATCACCACGTTCACCGTCGTCACGTTGAGTCCTCGCGCCAGCAGGTCCGTGCACACCAAATGGCGCGCCGCGCCCTGCGAGAAGTTGTGGAAGACCTTGTTCCGGTCGTCCTGCTCCATCCGCGAGTGGATGTAATAGCAACTGTATCCCAGATCGATGATCTTCTTCGCCAGCAGCTCCACGCGCGCCACGCTGTTGCAGAAAATGATCGACTGGTTCACTTCCAGCTTCGAGAACAGCGTGTGCAGCGCGTTCACCTTCTGACGCTCCTCCAAATACACGTAGTACTGCGTGATGCCCTTCAGCATCAGCTCGTTCATCGTGTTGATCATCACCGGCTCGTGCATGTATTCCGCGGCGAAGCTTCGCACCGTGCTGGGGAACGTCGCGGAGAGAAGCAGCGTCTGGTGCTCCGCAGGGAGGTAGGCGATGAGGTCCTCCACCACTTGGCGGAAGTTGTCAGAAAGCATCTTGTCCGCTTCGTCCAAAACCAAATATTTGCAGTGGCTCAGATCGCAGTGGCCGCGACGCGTGATGTCTAAAATACGCGCGGCTGTGCCGACCAGAACGTGCACGCCACGGCGGAGACGATAGAGGTCGTCTGCCAGAGGCTGGCCGCCAAAGCAACACATAGAGTCCACTTTCAATGCCTTGCCGAACTCACGGACCACTCGGCTGGTCTGGAGAGCGAGTTCACGCGCAGGAACCAGAATAAGAACTGAAAAGTCAACAGAAAGGCAAAATGAGATACCTTGGATAACTCGCTCTTTGGGGTCGATTTGATTCATACAGGGAATCACATACGCACCTGTCTTTCCTGTTCCGTTCTTTGAGCGGGCAAGAATGTCTTTTCCCGAAAGAATGGAAGGAATTGTCTGCGACTGAACGGGAGATGGCCTCTCCCATCCCTTCTCACACAACACTTTCATAATCTCTTCTTTCAACCCATACTTCTCAAAATCCTCTCCTTCTATAGGCTTCACATCCTACATGTTTAGAACGCCAGTGCCTGTACGTACATCTGTTTTGATTCTATCGTCATTTCTGGGATCAATTGGGTGGTATCCCATGGCTTCTAATGTCTCAGACTCAAATGGCTTCTTACTTTGTTTTGGCTTTGTGCTCATAATACAGGTAAGAAACTAGCAATAAAAAGAGGCAAGAAAGTTGATTTTAGAGAATAGGCTTAAACCCCTAGGATTCCGTCGTGGAATTACTATGGGAAAAGTACATTGGTCCACGTCGGAATCTATCAACCCTTTTGTAAATTGGCTTTTTTTTATTAATACTCTAAATATTATTTGTATTATTAAAAACTAAGGCACGACCATCGATATGGAGAGTGTCAACAAACAGGTGAAAGAGAACGGTTTTTCTTGCAACACTTGAAAATTAGAGTGTATAGACCGATAACGTCCATGTAAACTTTCAGCGCGTCCAGAGCGTACATTTCGGTCTTTCCTCCCTTTTCAAACCCTTTTCCACGAGCAAGATGCTTGAGATCAGCCACCAAATATATGCAGAAAGCAGACATCTATGGTCAAATTACCCGCACCAAACCCATACACTGATCGCAGAGAATATGCTCACCCAATTAGAATTGAGAATGGTCATGCCTCCAAAGAAGATTGCTATAAAGAAGATTTGATATAGATAAGGTTCAATTCCGCTGAAGTCAGATTTAGAGATAAACGCAAAGAGGAGGAGGAATACAGTTATTCCTGCTGTTAGACCAAACGCTGTTACGATGACATGATAATCAACCCACATCGCCCAACTCGCTAGAATCAGGGCTTCTAGCAGTGTCTATTTGTTACACAATACTGTGGAGATTACAAAAATAGATAGTAAAATGATATCCGCAGGATACGCCTTGACACCTAACGATCATAGCTTTAGCCATGGCTCACATTTCATGATCAAGGGAATAAGAAAAGTTCCGACCGCCGTAACAATAAGAACGGGAAAACGAACGCGTTTGAATGCAACGCGTAGTGGTTCAATAATACTAGAATCAATCAATTATTATCATCAGCAAAATACCAAATCAACCATACAATCAGAGTAGTTATCACCAACTGGAGCAAAACTATGAAAAGAACTTTTCCTAACATCAACCAGAAGCAGGAATCTTACTCAGATAGGCCGCCTTTAACTCCTTTTCCTTATCCAGTTCATATTGTGTTTTCTCAAGTTTGGGTTTACACCACAACGATCTCTAGAATGTCAGTCCATTTGTAGTAATACCTTTTTAGTAGGTTTCTCAGAATCCGCCATATTTTAGTAAAGAATTGTTTTTCGGTTACTTTAGAATTCGATTCGAACAGCCCTGGTAATCGTCAATTCAACAAACAATTCATACAAATTAGTTAGTTAGGACCATTCTCAGGGAACGAAGATCTTTTCAGATTGCGCCACATGTTCGTCTCCAATATGAGTTGCTTTAAGTCTATTAAACAAATAATCTCCTCAATTCTACCGCGATCATCAAAACGTGGAATCAAACGGTGAATTATGAGTAGGGTGATCATATGAGGTATCACCTACAGAAAAGAGCAAAAAAACAACTACGCTACCCAATAATAACAGATACAGAGCGAAATTCATGAAATACAAATCACCGTATTTACCCATATCCATAGGAAGGTAATACATGAATCCCAAAGAGATCAACAAATAGATTACATTTATAAAGAGAGCGTGAATTAAAGAACTCTATTATTTTTCTTTTCAACATATTTTGGATATAATCTTTACATAATAGTCGTTCAAGGCACGAACAAGCAAATAAACGACCAAGAAATAGAACAATGAGAGAATAAAGAAAAGAGTATTTACATGCTCATATATAAATCTTAAATAGAAGAAAACGGCGATTTCTACTATCTAATATTCAAACTAGAATCACAATCTCACCATGTTACTAAACAAAAATACTTTAAAGAGAATATATGAAATCTTTAACCGCTTACGGTCCGTTTCTCTATCAATGATGTCGTTCGATTTCGATTACTCATAAGTTATGTAAGATTGATATCCGTCGGTTGATAAGTCATGGACTTCTTGTGCTCTATTTATGAATCACAAAAACGAATAGAACTCGAGATATTCCAGCGGACTAGGAATTTGGGTAGAACTCTCAACGACATTCTCTTGAAGAAGCTTTCCTTGAATGCTTTCCGTCGTATCAATGTTTGTAATCGGTATCATAATTTTAAAAATATATTTTATGTAAAGAATCATTGAATATCATCATTGTAATGATAATTACTAAACGTTTTGCCTTTTTCTGTTTTATATAAAAAATGATAAAATGAAAAAGCTTTTGAAGTAACTTTAACCGCATCCGTATATATATATATATATATATATATATATATATACATTAAAATAAAGTCTGCTAACAAACAGCCCATTTTGCAATGATAATAGAATCCATATCTTCCAGACAAGAAAGCGCCCAACTTGGGAGATTATCCTTTTCTACATGAATTTGATCCTTAAACAACTCCACAATTAACATGTCGTACACTCGCATCTTCTTTTCATAAAGCGAAAATTCTTGGAAAATGGACGACAAAGACCATTGCTGGATCCTGCGAATGCAAGCCACAAATATTCCTGTGTAATGTTGCCCTTTCAGACAGTGAACTAGAATCGGATAGTTTGAACGATCTAGCACGATTGATAGGGACTGTGAAAGAGATTCGACGACCTTATCTGGTGTCGAAGGAAACTAGAGGTCACCAGATCAAGGGGTTCCTGCGTTGTTGACATCAAATGGGGAGTAAATAAAATTAATGTTGTTATTTTTACAAAACGAGCACAAATCTTGAGTGTGTACGCTATCCTCCTGCTTTGGCTCCAGAAATCTAATACATCAATGTGCGTCCGACGATTGTACATACAAAATTGTTCGAATTCCGAGGTGTTGCAGAAATGGCCTATTTCTCTCCAATGGAAAGCCAGATCGATAGAGCCCTTGTTCCACGACTCCGAAATTGACCATCGGCAGAAAATGATCGCGCGTTTCTCCATGCCACGGATAGCTCATTCTTGCAGCTAGGCTATCGATTACTAGATATGCAAACAAACAGACAATCAGCACAGGACAAATACAAGGCAAGTATCACAAGCAAAAACTACTTGTTCATAAAGTCCTTTTCGTTGATTGGATCTAGTACCATCGACGTTCTCTGCGGCTCTTCCCCGTTCACGTTCCTCTTAAACGTGTATCCGATAAACTCCGTCACGCCCTTCCGGCTGTTAAACAGCTTCTGTCCCGCGTAATTGCGATCTGCCAATCATCCCGTGTTCCCCTTCTCCTACTGTCCACTGGACGCTCCGGGAAGTCGTCAAAGTTCGCAGCCAGCATCTTCACCAGCTGCGGGAACTCGGGTGCTGTCGACGGTGTCACTTCGATTCGTCGCAGCAGCGAATCCAGCTCGCGCGACCGCTCCGGCAGGTAGGGAGCCGGCTGCTCGAGCAAGTGATCCCAGTCCACGTCTCTAAAGCTCAGCAGAGAGCAGAAAAGCGCACCGCAGCCAGGGATGCGCCATGATCTCGCTCACTCCATGCCGACCCATTCGCTCTTCGGCGGCGGTGACGAGTCTACAGGTGACGTAGCGGATGCACGCGAACTTCTCCACGAAATCGATGCACTCCGGCGTGCAGCGACGTCGCATCTGGTCCGGGATGCGGAAGACTTTCCGCCATTGGCGGATCTGTCTCTTATTGTGTGGAACAAACATACTTTTCGACATGTATCGGGCGGATCCTCCGCGTAGAAGGGCGGATAGCCCGCCAACATCTCGAACATGATCACGCCCAGCGACCACCAGTCCGCTTCTTTCCCGTATCCGCTCTCCTCGAACACCTCGGGCGCCACATAGTCGGCCGTTCCGACGGTGGAGTAGGCCAGTTCCCGCGATCGGTGCGTGCCTATCGTGGCTGTGAAGTCCTCCTCCTTCAGGAGTTCGGCCGACGATTTGTGGAGAGTGGATTGTCGGGAGAGGTGGATTGTGCCGTCGAGTTTCTTGCAAAGTCCCATATCGGTGAGTTTCACATGGCCTGTGGAAGTGAGTAAAAAGTTGTCGGGCTTGAGATCGCGGTGGATGTACCCGATTTTGTGAAGCGAATTGATCCCCAGGATCATTTCGCAAATGAAAAACTTCGTGGCAGCTTCCGAGAAAATGTCCTTGCGAATAAGCAGACCCATCATGTCGCCTCCGCTACAGTATTCCTCGATCATGTAGAGATTCTCGTCGTCTTGAAAGGTGTAATAAAGTGTAACGATCCATTGCTTGTCAGCCAGCGTCATAACGTCTCGCTCTGCGCGAATGTGCTCCACCTGGTTTTTGTCCACCAGGCTTTCTTTCAGCATTATCTTCATCGCGAATACTTCGCCCGTCTCCTTGAACTTCACCAGCCGCACTTCGCCGAATGCTCCACGCCCGATGGTTTTCAGCATCTCAAAATCGGAGAGCTTCATCTTGCGGCGGTGGGATCGCAGACGCATGTTTTCTTCGCGCTTAAACGCCTACCTCTCACCCAGTCTCGGCGAACCTACGTTGATCTTCGCGTTTCGCTCCTCTTCCGTCAGATGCTCGTTGTCTAGAATCAATTTCAGCTCTTTGTGTCTGCAATTCACCGAGTTTATCAACCTCTCACCGTTCTAAGATATCCTGCTTCGCAGTCCTCGTTTTAGCCTTCCTCGATTCAAAATAGCTCCGCGCAATTTCGACGCGCTGCTTTTGCGCCTTCGTCAGTCCATTCAGAGAAACTTCGTCACGATTCATTTTTCTTTATGGCAGTCTCAGTACCCCAGTCGAAATGACAAAAAGCAGGAAAGAGAGTTTGCAACCAAACACAAAATATCCAATCGGTAAAAGCAATAAAAACATCGATACAACTTGAAACTCAATCGGGCCTCACGAAGCCAGACCAAGTGCCATCTATATCTCGGCCGCGCAACTAATGTCGTCTCTTGGAGGGGTTCTCCATCTCCTGCTTTCTCTCCACCAGCGCCTTCTTGAGGCGGTCCAGCGCCAGCTTGAGATGCTCGTGGCTGTAGCACGTGAAGACCATGCGGAACCAGCCCGCCTTCTTCGCGAAGAAGGACTTGCCCTAGACATCACTCGCTTTCCTCTCGCCGCCTACCGGGCAGATGATCACCTTGCCGTGCTCGTAGATGAAGTTGTACAGCTCCTCCTCGGCCTCGAAGGAGTCGCCGATCATGTACTGCGTCAGATCGATCCAGCAGAAGTAGCCCGCCGTGCCGTGGATCACCGGGATGTTGTTCTCCTTGAAGAAGTTCTCCGCGATCATGCGGCCCTTCCACACGCTCTCGCGCAGCGTGTGGATGTGGTCCTTGATGTACTCCTCGTCGTTCAGCATGTTCGTGATCACCGTCTGGCACACCGAGGACACCTCGCAGAAATGCGCCAGCTCAGCGAAGCACCGCTGCATGTTCTTGTTCCGCGTCCACAGCAGCGACACGCGGAATCCGGACAGACCGAAGTCCTTCGACATGCCCCACAGCACCGTCACGTCGTCCGTCTTGGGGTCGTTCTCGATCAGCTTCGCGTAGCTCACGTAGCGGTGGTCCGACTCCGTGCACAGCGACTCCGGCTTCACCGACAGCGCGTAGATCTCGTCCGAGAACAGGTGCAGGTTGTGCTTGCGAGACCAGTTCAGCATCATCCGCAGCTCCTCCTCCGAGTAGATGTAACCCGTGGGGTTCGAGGGGTTCGTCACCACCAGCATCTTCACAGGGTGGCCCTCCGCCTCCGCCTTCAGGCGAGTGTTCTCCAGAATCTCCTCCGTGATCTGGTAGTTGTTCGCGGAGATGTCCGCCATGTACATCACACCGCCGTTACGCAGAGACATGTCGCGTCCGAACTTCACGTAGCCGGGGGTGATCACGATGTACGCGTCGCCCTTGTTGAACACCGTCGAGCCGAGGACATCCATGGAGGCGCCCGAGCCAGCGAACACCGTGATCTCGTCGTAGGAAATGGGGGTCTTGAACACTTCCTTCGTCATGAAGTTGGCGAGAGCCTGGCGCATGTGCTTACGACCAGCACAGCTGATGGCGTACATGTTATCCGCGTCGTGCAGAGTGCAGAACTTCAGGTACTTGGCCTGGAACTTGTCCCACAGATAAACGTTCTCTGCACAAGAAATGTTCATCACGCGATCAGGGTGCTCAGGGCTCCAAGGATTCTCAGAATACTTGGTTCCATCACGCATGTAAGGGGAGAAGGGGGGAATGGTCATTAAAGTCTTTCCACTATGCATCAGGACAGTCGATCCACTGCTTACAAATCAGAGTACTCCATTTTCTAAACAACGAAATAAATATATATGCTAGATTCCAACCTGAAACAGGTTTCCACAGTCTACCACTTTTCTAGCCAATCATTTTGAAGGAAGGTACTACCATTTTCATTGGAGAACTGTCGATTTTCCCCAGTAGCAGCTCACAATTTGAAAGGAGTATTGCTCCATTTGGATGAAAACGCTGTAGGTCGGATTCGGAGGGTAAAACGCTATTCGCCAAAGTGTCAGGGAAAATTGTGGAATTTGTGGCTTTTGAGGGAAGCGTGTGATTTGCGTTGTGTGTCTCCTGTTTGCATGTTGTATGCTTAGGATGAGAGCTTTTTTCCACTCTTCTACCTTTCCACCTTGCTTTGCCTTGCTTTGCCTTGCTTTACCTTGCTCCACCTTACCCGCCTTGCTCCGCCACCACATAGTATCGTAGTGTCGCAATATCGCAGTTTCACACAGTCACACAATTACACTACCACACTTTTACACCCCACCACTCTCTATACAAACTTATACAACAAACAACTCCAGAATTCGTAGCCAATTCACCACAGACCTTAGATCATTCTGTTCACCAGCTTGCCAATCAGCACCTCGTGGTTACCGTAGTCACCTCCCTCGTTGAAGTGACGCAGCTTCTTCGAGAATCCGCCGTTGGGGCTGTTCAGCTTGAAGGGCCACAGGAAGTTGTTCGCCTCCTTGAAGTGGGGTCCCACAGTGTAGATCTCGTGGATCAGATCCTCCACGGACACAATGCCGAACTTGCCGAGCACCTGCTCAATCTGCTCGTTCAGCATCAGAGGAACGCGCTGCTTGTTCAGCTTGGCATATCCACGCTTGTAGATCAGAGAACGCACCAGCTTCAGGTTGGGGTAACCGTAGGCAATGTAGGGCTCCACCAGACGCAGCATCTCCATCGTAGCCTTGTTCAGACGCACGAACACGGCGTTGTGGATCTGGCGCAGACGAAGCAGACGCAGGGTCTTCTTCACCTTCGGAGAGCACTGGTTGATACCACGAATACGCACAACGATCGCCAGACGGCCCTCTCCCTCACAGAACAGATGACCGTTGTTGTGGGCATCTCTTCTCTGGGCAATCAGATCAGCCTCCATCTGAGCGTACTCCTTGTAGTACTGCTCAGTGCGCTTCACCATCGCCTCTCTCTTGACCTGCTCGGCCTTCTCGAGGTTAGCAGCATACTTCTCAGCAGCAGCCTTCAGCTTCTCATCACGACGCTGCTTCAGAGCCACAGATTCAGGACTACAGCAAGATTAACTCTTCCGCTCAATACAATTGAACAATGAACAGTTACAAATCCGACAGCTACCTACACAGACATATTTTGGCACGAATTAACGATTTCTTATCGTTCCAAAGACTTAAGTCACCCAGGGGGTCAAATGATCTCTCAGGGATTCTACGGCAAATTCCTTACCCCCACCATGTCCGCGGTTTTTTTTCAATTTCTAATCACTATTCTTCAAATATCTTGCCATCTTCTGATCGAATTAAAGCCAATCCACGCCTATTCTACTACAACCCTCGTATTCATACGATTCTTGAACAAACACAAAACCAGAACATATGAGCCTTCTGAATCATCAAATCTCCCTTCTTTACCAGCCAGTCCGCTACCTGCTGCTTCCGCTCCATCATCTCCTCAATCGATAAGAACGGACTGAGGACCACAATGTAAAGCGACGTGTCTTTCTTGGAGGCATGAATGCTGAACTCGGAAGTCGACTCGTAATACTCGCTCAACTACCATCAATCGCGTCCTCCTCTCCCACCTGATTCTTGAGCATATGCGAATACACCTCTTGGTACTTCCGAATCATCCTACATGTAAAATCATCTCCGCTCTGCAACTTGTAATAATCATGATAGTCGTAGACGCGCTCGTCCATGCGTGGAATCACGATCTGGTTCGATTCATTCTTATACACGCAATGAATCAAATCCGGAATCTTCATTTCTATGTCAAAAAAAGCCCCTTATTTCGCACCTCCAATCGAAATCGACGCGTCGTACGCCGAATACAACTGCATGATCCGATCGCCCTCCGACAGCTGCTACGCCTCACAGCCCCCTCGCTCGCCCACCGTATAAATCCGGTCTTTGATCTTGCTGTACACGTCGAAGTCGTCGGGGTTATTCGCGGTCGTGACGAAGAAAACGAACGTCTCCTCCGTCACGAACCCCACGTACAAGTGCAGGAACGCGTCCGCCTTCACGTCCGAGATGCACACCGGCAGCCAGCCCTCCGACGAGCGGAACGAAACCGTTTTGGTGATCAAAGCCTGCAGCAGCACTTGGTCTACACTCAAAACGGGGAAACGGGGAAACTGAGGGGCTGCAGAGGGAATTGACGCGATTGAAGACAGACGACGATGTTATCGTTGATGCCCAGACCTCCATATCTAATCGTGGAAACCGTGGAAATCGAGTACACCGTGTCGGGACGCTTGTTGCGAAGGAAAATATCGCGGATCTGAGCGCGGAAGGCGGAGGGGATGAGCAGCGGATGGTAGCAGCGAAGCAAGTAGTAGAGGTTCACTCCGCATTGGTTGATGAGCGTGGTGATGCTGCTGGTCGTGTCTAAAGAGAAGGGAAGAGGCGGAAGCGAGTACTGCCGAGCAGCTCGCGAATGTCGTAGTTGGGCTTTTTCTGAAGAAGAGAGAGAGCTGAAGTGGAGAGCAGCATGACTAGCTGCTGGTAGAGGAGATGGAACTCCTCGTGGATCAGGAGGATCGACGTGCCCTCTTTCGGGGAATAGCAAAAGAAGAGAAGGGGGCCGATCTTCTCAAAAACAAAATAGCCTTTCGTCGTGGTCACAGACCTAAGGTTCGAAGCGAGACTCAATGCTACTTTAGGTCCTCGTTGTTTGCGTGGAAGTTGCCGGAGAGCGCCTGGATCAGCGCCGTTATATCTACATTCAACGGCAAAAACAAGCGTACGAGCTAGATCCGATTCATCTCGACCATAAGCATACACAGGCTTTCCAGCCTCGGTTAAAATGATCAGCTGCTTTTTTTCAATCATGAAATTGCCAGCATTCTCCTCTAGCACCTCTTCCATGTGACAACCCGTCAAGACGTTCGAAATTACCTCCACGGATAGTCGCTCCGGATCTGCTATCTTCACTATAAACAATCACTCCCCAAACACTCAGAGATACAGGCACGGCTAGGAGATAATGTAGCTGCATCCTCAAGAGACGCGTGAGGTAAATCTGTAGTTGGATTAGATTCTTCCGCATGTAAATCTGTTGTTTCGGTTTGTTCGACCGATTCTTCTGCGGGATTTTGCGTTGCAGTCTCGGATTGTCCTTCTTCCACAACTTTTTCTTCTTTTGACTCCATTTTCAATGAGTTTTCAGCACTTGTGATCATTCTCAAAACCGCGGTTCTGATACAAGGTGGGATTACCCGATAATGCATGGATTGAAAGTATAATAAGCATAAAGAATGGAATTCTTATGTGATGGTCAATCGATGGATGTGGTTTAGAGAGAAATGTGAAGAAAACGATTTTGGGAAAATCATTGATTTTTGAAATTTTATGATACTAGGAATGCTGGTTTTGTGGTATTTGCAGTGATAAATGGAAAAATATTTTCAGCCAAAATGTAATATAGAGAATTGGATGTAAATACTATGGTAGGGGGCAAAGTAAATAGGAGAATTGTGCACATAACAGGAACAATCAAAATACACCAACGATCTTTTATAGAAATAGAATATACTTACCAAACAGAATAAAAATGTCAAGGGATTGCACAGAACATTGAAAGGGCTCGCTTTTTAGCAAGAAAAGAAAAAGACGAAAGAAGCTATCCTTGTATAAACTATTGTGCAGATAGGAATCAATGGGAAAGACAAAGGAAAGCATTATTTTGGCTAAATGATAGGAATAGGGTTGTTTTCCATCACGAAAAATAGGCCAAATGGAATTGTGTTTCAGTGGTATTTTCTGGATGAATGTAACTCCGTTGTGCGGACTTATCGGTGAAATGGAACAAAGAAGGTCTCTATCGTTGATTCCTTTAGTAGCTAGCTCTTAAACGTCAAAATGAGTGAAACACTTCATATCATTCCATACCGTTTCTTATGAACTTGATTCTTGTCTATATTCTTATTTTTTCCTATAAAAAGAAAAAAGTACATAAACACCACATCATAAGAAGAATAGTTACGAAAAACAGGCGAGTTTTTGGAATTCCGGATTTCGGAAAAGGAAGGAAACATCATATTTTTTTCGAAACGAGTCACCAAGGTTTGTCATTTGATATTTGCTTTTCGGATCATCCTCTCAATAGGATGGAAGTAACAAGCACCGTGAATACCCCTACTACTGTAAGAAAGAAAAGGACCACTGTTTCAAACGAAGTGCGTCAGTTGCTAACTCTGTATTTTCAGTCGACGCAAGGGAGACTAAAACCCAGGGAAGCCTGTGAGCTCTTTAACATTGGCTTTGAGAACAGCAGAAAGCTGTTGCGACAACTTCGAAAGGGAGAATCGATCATGAGAGGAGACTCCAAGAAGGGAAAGCATCGAAAGCTGTTACCTGAGCACGACATGTTAATAGAGCAGATTATTCGTAGGAATCCGACTATCAGTAGTCAGAAGATTGCGAATATCTTACGATCATCGACGGAGCTCCCGGTGAACGTCTCTCGTTCGACCATTCGTCGTCATCGCTTGGAGCAAAGCAACAGCGATGACAAATCTACTAGTAATTCAGACCCTGATTGCCTTGTGGCGGATCTCCAGGAAGTCAACCCCTTCAGCTCAATGCCGGATACGACTTTTGAGCCCTTTTGTCCGAATGTTGCTATTGCATTGCCGACGATCCCATTCAGTGATTATCGATCGTGGGTTCCCACTCCATCGAGTACATAGCATGGAATCGAGTTTTTCTCTTGAGTACTCAACTTGTTTGTTTGTTCTGCTTATTGACTGCTCTTTTGGTTCGCTTGGTCAACTGAACTTTGTAATTGTTCTTCCCGTTTGTTGGATTGTTTGTTCGTACAAGGATTTTGTGTGTGGCTTGACTGGTTGATTTGTATGAATGAAGGTTTTTGTTGTTGTTGTTGCTGGGTCAATCAGAGTTGACGTGTGCGTAAGAATTGATTCAATCCATTTATCCAATTCAATCCATTTATCCATTCATTCATTCATTCATCTCAATGATTTAGCATCCCTTCCCTTTCCAACAAACACACAAACAAATACAAAAAATCAACTGCAAACTAACGAAAGAACTAACGAACGAACGAACTAAATCAACCAACTAAACCAACCAACGCCCTCTTCCAGGCCCTCACACTACGCCAACAACAACATCCGCTCCTGGATTTCCTGCCTTCTCTTCCTCCACAGCACCCACGCCGCGATCACCACCAGCACGCCCGCGACCACCGGCAGCGCGACCATCAGCGCGACCATCAATCTCCGATCCACCACGCACTCCAGATCCTTCAGCTTCACCACCACCTCGTGGTTCAGCTTCGTCGTGATCTGCGCCACCACCAGTCCCGAATGCTCCGTCAGCTGCCGGAACACGCGGCTTCCCCGCATCGCCGGCACCTCCACTCGGATATAGAACTCCTTGTACAGAAACAGCCCGGTCCCATGCCTCGTATACTCGAAGTACACCTCCATCGCGCTCTCGCCCACGCCCAGCTCGCTCTCCAGCGCCTCTAGCACCGCCTTCTCCGCGTGCTCCTCGCTCTCCAGATGCAATCCCGACACGCTCACCGTCACCCACACCACTCCTCGATTCGTCGGCGCGCGCAGCGCTTCGCAGAACCGCTTCGGATCGCCCCACGCCGTTCCGTTCTCGCTCCGAACGCACTCCAGCACCGTCACGCCGTGCTCTCCGGACCCGCAGCCCACGCGCAGCGCGTCTCCCACCTCGATCTCCGCGCCCTCCCAGCGGCAATGCAGCTCCGACCGCGTCTGAAACCGCACGCCGGACACGTGCACGCACCCCGAGCTCGACGCGCCGTTCTCGAACCGCAGCGCATAACCGCGGAAGCTCGCGTACTGCCCGGAGAGCGGGAACCACACCGAGCGGTCACGTGGCCACGCGCCAATCCGCTGCGAGCTCAGCAGAATCGACTTCGTCTCGCGCTGCCCGCCGAGTTCCACGTCTTCCAGCAGCCCCCAGATCGAAACGCCCGTCGGGATGCAGTTCTCCCCGCGGGAAATGAGCACGCTGTTGGCGTAGTCGAGCGCTCCGAAGGGATGGAAGTAGAACAAATAGTCCCCGTTGCGAGAACTCCAGAAATTCCCCAGATTATCCGCGTTGTTCACGATCAGCGCCGCGTTGTGCATCTACCGTTCATTCCCGCGGGGATCCGAACGTCCGACGAGGCGCGCACCGTGGGGAACTGTCGGATCTGGCGCTTGGTTTCGGTGGCGACGAGGACGGTGGAAACGGAGAACTCGGCGAAGGAGTCGGAGAAGGCGTGCGGATGGACCTCGACGGCGATGAGATTGGTTCCCTTGTGCAGATGCGAGGACGAAACCTCCACGGTGAGGAGGCGTGCCGCGGGGAAGAGGTGCGAGGCGGCGTCCCAGTCGCGGGAATTGTACCCCATATTGAAGCGCGCGACTTCGACGCCGTTGAGGTAGAGAATGGCGCCCTCGCGAAGAAGGAGCGCGATGTGGAGGTACAGCGCCGCGTCCAGCGCGCTCAGCTACGGGACAGGCCTCCCGCGGGGATACCTCGAAGGCGTGGCGCAGGAAGAGCACGGTGGAGGGCGCGAGGGCGAAGGGGCTGCGCTTCAGACTCCAGGCGGCGTCGTCGAAGTCGAGCTCCTTCCACTCGGTCGGTACGAGCCAGTTCCCCGCGGTATACCGCCAGAAGACGCTGCGGTCGACGAGCTGCCGCGCGGCGAAGGCGTGCGTCTCGCAGCCCTCGAAGACGGGCGCGCTCTGCGAGAAGACCAGCACGGAGGTCTCGAGGAACACGAACACGTCGAACGGACGCAGCGTCACGCCTTCGTGCCTACTCTCCAGCCATCCCCGCGGGAATACCGGTTGCAGATGGTCACGTGGAAGGGCGCCGACAGCACGTCGCTCACCATGATTCGGTTCTGCGCCGCGCCGAACGCTTCACGCCGGAATATCACGTCGTTCCCGCGGGTAATCGTGATGTTCGGCGGGGGATACGAGCGGAGGTTCGACGTTTCCACGATCAGCAGCTGGCTCTGCAGCGACGGCATCGCTAGCCGTCAGAGAAACGCCCGGGCGTTACGCAGGACGTTCACGCGGAGCCGGTTGGTGTCGGTCCCGCGGGAATTGCGCGCGGAGAGGACGAACTCGAAGGTGCCGGGCCCGGTTCCCTCCCAAATCCCCGCGATCCAGTACCCGCTTTTGCCGTCGTTTCGTGGAAACAGGGAAACGGAGGAGGGGAAGGGACAGGAGAGAGAAATGGGGAAATGCGGCTGCGCGACGAAGACGTCGATGAGCGGGAAGGAAACGCCCTCGAAGACGGTGAGGTTGGCGACTGGGAGGGAAATCACCGGCCGCGAAAACGCCACTACGATGAGTATGAAAATAGCCCCGATTTTGGTACTTTCGTTGACGGTGAAGCGGAGAGAGGAACCGTCCGACGAACGGGAATAGTATTTCGAGGGGAGGAAGAGAGTGCCGTTGACCGCGATTTGTGTTCCGTCCTGCAGGAACCAATCAAATGTGCTATCGAATTAGCCCCGATTTTTGGAGTTCCAAAAACCTACTCGATATTCTGTAGTGTGACAGAATAAGTCCCGTTTTCTGCAATTCCATAAATCAGCTCTCCCGCCACTTCCTTCTTCACCGCGGTTTTATTCGCCCTCGCGATCTCCACCTGCCCATTCATCGAAACGAAACGCCCGCCCGTCATGGGCGTTTCGCTGAGCGCCGTGAATTCCAACGTGATGACGCACGTGACCACGGAAACGGTCGAATGGCCGTGGATCGTGAAGGACGTGTTTGTCATGGGGAAAACTGGAATTCCAGAAATCTCCCCGGTTTCTGCGTCGAAGGTCAAATACCGCGGGAGAGCGGGGGAAACGTCGAAAAAGTGGT